GGGCTGACACACCGCTGACGCCGGCAGTGCTGTGTGCTGGACAGACTGTCCGCTGGGCTGACACACCGCTGACGCCGGCAGTGCTGTGTGCTGGAGGCTCACCGTACCAGTGAGACGTCGTCCAGAATCAGGCCGAAGGTGGAGGCTCTCTCGATAAGGTCCTCGCTGACCTGCCGCGACACCATCTCTCGCTGCGTGATCAGCTCTCCAGCATCGAACCGTGCCTGTGGGACGAACAGGGAGTCAGTGCGCAGCCCTCAGCACGCTGCAGCTGGAGGAAACCAAACAGACCGGTTTCCAGAGCCTTTATCCTGATTTCCTATGATCACTGAAAGGCTCAGCTGTCTGATGCCGACTCACTGAGCTTGCCTGAACAAGTTACCAAACCCCCAGTGCTCCACCCCTGAGATAAGAGGTAAAACCCAAGTCTTACCTTGGGCCCTAATGGAGAATGCAGCCAATATCGAAGAGGTTTTCAAGACATACTAGCTAACAAATGTGGACCTGATTTTGGAAAACCTCTTTTCCTGTCCCAGTCACAATGAGGGGACAGTGTCCCACCCTGAAAGCCCGTGGCCACGGTCAGAGAGAGGTTTGTTTCCTCATTGTTCCAGGTCTTCTTCCATGGGCTGCACTTAAACTTGGCCTTTGCACATATTCCAGTACCTCTACGGTCTCAGTGTGAGTGTGCTGCTGAGAGTATTGACTGGTTTGTGTGTTGTTTTAACTTTTTAGATCTGAAGTCTGATTACTTTGCTGCTTTACTGCTGCCCCGTGCACTCGCTGAGCTCCACTTCTCACAAAAGCGACAAATCAGGAAACGAAGGAACAGAACCCCAACTCGACAGCTCCCTCGGCCGTCCCCTGCGGAGGAGGGGCTGCTCGGTCCCGGCGCCGGGCTCTTACCACCACGGACTTGAGCACCTCGGTGGTGATGGAGGGCAGAACCCTTTCGTCGTAGTCCTCCCCGATGCTGGTGAAGATGCGGGGCAGCTGGCTGGCCACTGGCCTGAAGAGGATTCTCAGGGTGATGTTGACGTTCTGCAGGTCTGCAGGAGGAAGAGAGGGACAGGAGGGCGGGGAGAAATGAGGGGGGTGTATCGGATTCACAGAAGTGGAGGTCACGGCGCGGCTGGCTGCGTTACCTTTGCTGCCTGTGATGACGGGCACGTTGCGGGGGCGTGACCGGCAGTCGAAGATGATGGGCTTCTGAACCCACGGGACGAGGAAGTGGGTGCCCTCTCCCACCACTATGTCCTGCACGCCACGGAAACGGTCGAAGATGACCGCCCTGTGGCCAGCGTCCACTGCAACAAACACGGATCAGAGATAAGACACCTTTCACCTCGTTTTGCACTGTGTGGAGCGAGAGGCACAACTGTCTCCCATCACACCGATCAGTCACCTTGGAGAGAACTGCCAGGAGACCAGGGCGTGCAGCCTGGGTTCTGAAGGACCCTTCTGACAACACTTCTTTATTCCACCGTTAATAAAAACCATTAGTAGTGTTCGGTATTATCACATTTTTACCCATTTGGACCTTCCATTTGACAGCTTACTTCCCTTGTGCAGAAGAACAGAGGCTTACGAAGTGAGTTGAACAGTGTCATGACTGCCTGTGTCTGCGCAACACTGACTAGTCACTCACTCAGAGCTGCTCAGAAAGCTACAGGAGAGCCACATGTACAGGGAGGGTTAAACAGCGTTTTCTGCACCCAGAACACACAAACAGCACTGCAGGAACTGCACACACCAGCACTGTGAGGCTGCAATGCTGACCAGTACAGCACCGTGTTGTCCCAGATACATTTGGATTACTAACAGGAAAACATCTTTAAAAAAAGGGAGCCTGAAAGGAAACAAAGCAGCTGTGAAATTGAAGCTGAATCCCTGTGATGTTTTCAGAAATGGCTGGATTGTATTCTCGCATCCTTGGTTACAAATGTGCAAATAAGCACAGCATGTCCCAGAGATTTCTTCCACTTACCACCTGTTATTTGGCTTTTCACCACAAAATTACATCTGCGTAGAAAACAAAACCCAGGACGTCCAGCCCATGACAGCCGACTCACCATTATATAGGGCGGAGTTCACCACCCCCCCTGCGATGGCCAGTCCCAGGCCGAGCTTCCCGATAGCTTCAAACACTCTCGCCATGCTGGTATCTCAGGAGCCCTTGGGGACACAAGGCAGGGATGTTTAGGAACGACCCTCCGCCCAGAAAAGAGAGGATCAGAGAGGACCGGAGAGGAACTACAGCTACAGCAGCAGTACTTACAGCCTGCTGGTCTGGAAGAACCACATTCACTAAAGACAATGGTGACATCAGTGTCAGTGGGGATGAGTTTATATTTTCAAAACAAGACAGCCAAAGGTTGAAGTCAATATATAAGCATGCCGTTTTACTCAGAATAAAAACGCAGGAATCAACTCTAATCAGAACATTAATACCACTAAATGTTTTGAGAGCATAAGACCTAAAAAGTGTAATAAGTACAGCTCACTTTAAACCTAGAACAGGAGGCATTTTACACTAAGGGCTGTGAAAGTGTGGAACAAGTGAGATCCTGGGATCAATTAACTACTAACTACCGAACGGGTCACACAGGCCGAATGGTGTCGGTTCTGGTATCGGCTCCAGTCAGCCAAGAGGGACCCCCAGCAACACGTCCAGGCACTGTAATTTAATTGAATCCGAGAATTAAACAGCATTTTGTAACGATGGCGGAGGCTGCCCGTGCACTTGAAGCCTTACAAGGTCTTGCGCCACGGAAATCGCATCTTCTTCGGCAGTATCAGCATAAAACGGTAATGCTTCGAAAAATAATAATTATAAACTAACATCTATAAAAAAAAACTAACATCTCACGACCCAATAAAATTGCGGTGCCTGGAGGCCATAAATAAACGAACAAACATTCGCAGGTTTTTCATCCATTTTTCCGAAAGCACACCGGCTGGTTTGAACTTGGGAAACGGAGATCCTGGCGAGCCCGCCCCGGCTGCTCTCTGCAGCGGACCCCGGGCCGGTCCGCACCGCGGCGGCCGGGACAACAGTCATAACACCGAGCGCCGCCTCCGCCCCGGTACCGGGCTCGCCTCACAGCGCCTCACACGCGTTTACCAGCGTGGCGGGGATAAACACCATGTGAACTCCGTTTAAGCACTAAAAATCTTCTGTCTAGACTATACAGCACCAACAGATCTTCAACTCTAAAAGTCGTTTTTCGTTTCTTCTTCCTAAAACCGCGCCACTCACCTTTTCCTAGGCACAACATATGACCTCCACAGCAAAACGCGTGAACCAGGTAGCCCAGTGCGCAAGCCTCGACGGCTTCCTAACATTCCCTTTCCTGATTGGCCAGCCTAAGCCGCGAGGGCAGCTGGGACTTGTAGTTCTAAGAGCCTCGACACCGCATTTGAACGTATCTCGGGCCTCGAAGTATCGTGTTTTCCAATTGGCTGAGAGGGAAACGCCGAGGTTCGTGGGAAATGTATTTGTTTGGCACTTGTGTTGGTGTCCATACACCCTGCTTCGCCTGGCTGGTGGTATTACCATTGGGAGAGGGAAAACTAGTCTAGTAAGTAGTAGACTGCCATAAAAAATATGAAAATCAGAAGAAAGGACAGAAACAAATCCCCCCTTTTAACTGTACGAGGATAATATTGTTAATGAAATGATTTACACATGGCACTGTGGATATCGCGGCAAAACACGCTTCCATAATACGATTTTATTTTTAAGAGCAAACAAACAAAAAAACAGAATCGCAAAATATACCACTTTACATTATTATATATACCTAAAACAGTATAGATGACCACATCTCGTTAAGGTTAAAAAAGGAAAAAGCTTCCATAATACAGGCTTTAAAAGTTACAGTTCGTTTTTCCACGCAGATGTTTCCCAGTAAATGCACCGCTTATGCAGTTATCTGCCCGGCAGGCCGCCGGCGCCACCCTGTGGTGAAGAGCAGCAGCTCAGACAGGCCTCTCTATTTCCAGACGGAGCTGCGGCAGCCGGCGCGGGTTGCAAAGGAACAGGTAAAGGTTTGTTCCTGCTGAAAGGAGAAGATAAGTAGCAACGTGTCGGCTGTGGAGCTCCTTCAGGTGCCTTCTTCGGTCTCCACAGCCGAAATTTGTGTTTCTTCTATTTTCAGCATGGAATGAACCTTTACTTGTTCCTCAACGCGTATCTTAGCCACCGCAGCCACACAGGATGACCCTAACCCGCCTGTAGAAGCACATCGCGCCAACAACTAATCTTTCCCGTGTGCGCCGACCTGCCGTCCTTGCAGTATAAGACTTATTTTAATTATTAAACGTATAGAGAAAGTACATCCCGAGGATCAGACACAGTACGAGACTACAGCAAGCGCCGTCTGACGGGCACCGCCGAGAACTACACCTACAAGTATTCATACAGCATCAGTCTGTTTTTGAACCAGCTCGCCAGGGGAGAGCGCGAACGCAGTCCCCCACTACCAGAAATTATGCAGTCAAGATTCCCACATTTGGGGAATTCGCAGGGGTCAGCACAGCCGGAGTGCAATGGCCGAGCCTCGCCCTGGGTGAACCTCCTTCATGATCAAGGTGTCTCCCCTGCCAGGTAAGTATAACTTGAATATGGTCGCCGCTCGGCACCAGCCTGCAAAACGTATGACTGCCGTTTACGGTGAGGAATTATTCACTCCTTCGATTTTAGTAATTTATAAATATACGTATTATATTATATACGTATAACTTCATTTATGATGTTTCAAATTATTATGGACCTTATAATTAGACAATTTTATTTTAAAACAGAAATCCTCTTTCTTTTACCCATGATGCGTTTCTATTTACATACTCTGACGCTATTGGTCGAAAGCCCAAGCCTGCGACTACGCATGTGTGTGTGGGGTGCTAGGAAGCAAGTTCGTTGACGTCACAATGAACGGATATGCTGCGAAATTTTTGTTAAACAAATCCTTTCAACGTATTTTACGCTGTATTCATGATGAATATATTTTGGATTTCCTTTTACTAGTTAACCAGTAAAAGTACTGTAGTACTAACTAGTTGTGTGTAACAAAGCGATGTAAATGTGAATGTTCAATGTATTCATTTGAATTATATTCAGTAATAACCCTGATAAAACGTCTTTAAAAATAAATTATCTTTGTTGGTAACCAACAAAATGAACCGTACATTATTTGTTCAGAAACATAATTCTCTTATATATATATGGAACACTGCATACATCTCAGAAAAAAAACCCAAAGAATAATGTGCCCCTCTGCGTGCAGGGTGTTTTCTGTTTTTATTAATAATAATTACTGGAGTATTGCGCTTCTTGGCCTCTCAGCTGACGAAAACAGTGCCTGTAAACCTGGGGCATCGCCCGGTGACAACAAGCGCCGCAAACCCTGAAGACCCGTGTAGCTCTGGGGCCGGAGAGGGGAATCTGACGAGCTGATCAGGGCAGAGGGCGGACCCGGAAGTCCGGGGGCCGCAGGAGCGCCGCTTCCGGGCGCTGGAGGGCGGCGGCGCGGCCGGCGCGTGACCGCCAGAGGAAGTGACGCAGCTCCTGCTGTCTCGGGTCCCGCTGCGGGCTGGTCGCTCAGCCCCCGGCGCTCTCTGGGAACAGAGCCCCAGTTGTGGAGCGGTCCGGGTTTGTCAGTGTTACAGAAAAAAAATGTCTGGCTAAAAATGTTGTCTTGATAAAAGACGCAGATTTGGGTTGGTTTTGTAGTCTTTTCAGCATGTGTGCACATATACTGTTTTAGGTCTTAAATAATATTGTATAATTTTTGTATTCTGTATTTATTTGTGACAAGTAAATACAGTTCTTATAAAATCAAACAGTTTTTACAGTCCTTTGATTATCTTTGATGGGAAAAAAACGGTCAAATTACCAGCGAAAATCAACTGAAAAAAAAGGTGGAAATGTGGAAGGAAACTGGACACCACAGGCACAGCTGCAGAAGCGCTGACTTCGCTGCGATACAGGAAGTAATTCTTACAGTGAAGTTAACACATCTCCAGTGTTTTATCATCTATATAATTATCAGCGCTGGTCAGGGCTACAGATTTTTGACCAAGTAGTAAAAGTGGAGCCTGTTTCTAACAGCGGAGCAGAATGTTTGGCATCATCGGGTGATATGAGCGACCAGTTTGTAATCACTCACAAATGCTACTGTAAACCAAGGAGAACTCGTTTCTATTAACACGTGGCTTTTCTATTTACTACAGCGGTTTTGCTCCAGAATACAATTTGCTGTGTAAAGCCTTGGGTAGTACAGGTCTAGTAAGACAATATTCACACAGAAGGTAGACGTTACAGGCCTCTAATAGAAAGTCACAGCGTGTTTTTCTGGTACGCTACTCATCGGGTCTGACTTTAAAAAAAAAGTGCAGCAGAGGTTGTGACTTTGCAATGAATGTTTTTGTGTTTAACATACAAGAGCTCCGGTTTTGTGAAGGCTTGCTTTTAAGAAGTAATCCATTGCAGATATATTGGGTACATCACTGACAGACTGTTCTAACCCATTGTCGTCTCAATGACATATCTGAGCTTCGTACTGGGTTAGAAATTCCCAAAGTACTTCACTGCCCACCTCAGGAGAAGGTTGAGGAGGTCTGGACATGGCCTGCTCCAATTTCCCTTTGATATTAAACTGGTGGCGCCCCCTCCTGGACAGAAACTGCCATGGGCGATGATTCACTATTGACTATTGACAGATGCTGTTATCACAAGCAGCTCACAAAAAAAGCTTTCAGGTGGTATGGAGTTTCCGTATAAAACACAGATTCCATTGGCTAAAATGAATGTATAGGTATATAAATGGTTCCAGGTGGATATTATCACAACAAAGCATGACAGAATGACAAAGTGACTTTGAAGTTAGTGACATATTTTAAAAAATATACGTTTGATTTTGTCCCAGATTTCTTCACCACCTTGTTATATGAAACTGTGCCGGGAGAATTTCACACAGGGAAAATATTGCTGGGTACCATGTTTGATTACAATCATCACAACAGAAAGGATTCCTGGTACCTAGTAAGGCTGGCATACACTGCACAGTACATATTCAACGTCACAATGTAATAAATCGAGTCCAAAAGAAACTGATATACTGTTGGACTAGCATTCAGAGCTCACTGACTCCGGAGCAACGCAGGTGCTGGAAGCCAAACAAAGAAGACATCTCTCTGTCAGTTCTCAAGATCTGCTCCAGCACTGTAAAAACATGGAGGGACGTTGTACTGGCCAGGTCTCGCTCATGTGGGCTGTAGAAGTGAAACTCCACAAGGCTGAACCCAGTGTGAATGGAAAGCAGAAGTGGGAAGAATGTTAAGAAGCCAAGCTTACTGCTTGGAGACACAGTTGTGTTGAGCTGTGTGATCATGGCTGTCTGCTTTCTCCTGGCCCTGTGCTGTGTGCTGAGAGCAGGTAAGAGACGTTGCTTCGCTTCGGCTGCCCAAAAGAGCGAACTGCGCCGCTATCGGGAAAACTGTCTGGTCACCTGAGATGTACATGGATGACTGGTCAAAACCCAGGGTTGTATGTCAAGGTAAAAGCAATGTAAAGTATAGTCAAACCTGGTAAAATGATAGTAAAAGCATGCAGCGCACAGTGAGGAGTTGCTAGTTATGAAAGCATTGCAGGGAATGCATGTTTTAATAATGGCAAACCACTGTTAAAATATCTTGCATATTTACCACAGTAAACATTCTCAATGCAAGGTAAACACGTCACTCAGGAGAGGTTAATACGGAATAACACTGTTGTCAAAACACCCAGCCCAGGGTTTAAGCAAATGAACATGCAAAGAGGAGAAGAACTGTCTGAAGGCGAGAGTGAAGCACGAGAGAGGGCGAAGTGCTGCCCAAACCGAGCTGAACCGCACTCAGCCCTGCTCCGGCGCGGCCAGGGAGCGAAGCGGGAGAAACAGAGCCCCCCCAGGGAGCGAGCGAGCCACGCGGTCAGTGTGCACAGTAAGAGTTTGGTGCTGCCTGGTGATCAGACACTATCATGTTTGCATGCGGTTCTCACCCCCTCTTGAGACCTGCAATCTGTCATGTCTTTAGTCAAGAGCTTGAGATCCAGATTGAATTGGACAAAACAAATGGACTGTTGTCACAGTCAAGCAACTGAGACCTGACCCAGAATGAATCCCTGGGGATCCAGGTTGGACACCGACACACATGACTCACATGGTGATGCACCGTTCTGCCGTCTCAGTTCCAATGCTAATGCAAAGGGTTATGCTGGCCATGAAAATAGCCTTTCCCATGTACAGTAGCTGAAAGTGAAACCGGTTCAGGTTTAATCACTGCTTGGCTATTTACAGTCTGGATCCAGAACACTACAAAACACAGGCTGGAGAAACAGCCTGAATATAAAGAAAAGGATAAAAACCCAAATAAGGACCAAATAACAGGAATCCAGGAGAGCCATCTCGTGCTGTGACACAAATGAAACTTTCAAGTTTGAATTGTGGAAGAAACAAAGAAAAAAACTGACTAGCTGCATGAGTCATTCTTTACCAGATAAATAAAAAAAGTTTCTCTTGTGGTGAGAACAGTTTTTGTGTTTGGTTAACACAGCAATATCAGAAAACCCTTTATCTCCCTTAGACAAGGACAAAAGAGTTATTTTTATAACTTCTAGTAAAGTCACTCTACTGACTCTGAGACAAGTGACTGGATTAGTCTGCAGCAATGGACAAATGTCTGTGGGCCACCAGGCTTTGAATGCCTTCAGCTAGAAGCTGAAGCAGAAACACAAGTGTGATCACAAGTGCAAGGGCCAAATTACAACGTAGGTTGACTATCAAAACCTCCAGGGCAAACATTTCTGAAACATTTTCCGAAAGTAATTGTAAAAGTATAAAGCATATCTTTACACAACAAATTGTATGTGTTGGGAACAAATTACCCAGCCATGCTGTTGAATTTTTTTCACCCCTAAGTAGTTTTGGAAAATTGGGTGGAGTTCTCTCGGATTTCCCAAAGGCCTAGCGGATTCTGAAAGCCTCCTGTAAGGAGGAATCGTTGGGAATCCCTGTCCGTGCAGATGGGAGCTTCTGCATTTAAAAACAGTAAGCCAGAGCAAACATGAGTCCTGTACAATGTGATACTTTTTGATTTTACGACTATGTTTTAAACTTTATCCCTTGAGAGATGTCTTGATAAAGGCTCCAGCAGTCACCTGTCATGTTACTGTAAGTGGAGGTCCTTTAGATTACCTGAGCTGCTTTTTCTTTCCAACAGGGGGCGTCCCACCTCATGTGGCAGCACAGAGCCAGGCTGTGGGTTACCTGGGGCAGAATGTCACCCTCAGCTGCTCGCTGCGGGCGGCCGAGCAGCCCATGACCGTGGTCCAGCTATCCTGGGAGCGAGGGGGAAGAGCCGTGGCTGTTTTTAACCCCATTTTTGGCACCAGCTATCCCACCGGCGACTGGGGCGGGAGACTGTTGCTGTGGAACAGGTCCGGCGGGCTGTGGGAGACCTCGCTATCCATCGCCAGGAGCCGACTCGGGGACAGCGGCAACTACAGCTGCATCTTCACCATCTTCCCTGACGGGACACTTCAGGAGCAGGTGTCCCTGACCATTGAAGGTGAGACGCGGCCTAGTGGTAGACCAGCTGCTGCTGATGAAGGTCTCGTCTGCAGGGCACAACGCATTGAAATCCTGTACTTCTTTAGTTGCACCTTTTCAGATTTTGACAAGCTGTCTGAAGGACACAGTTGCAGGTTTTGGAAAGAGTATTTGGAGCATCATCACTTAGCTCAGGGTGCCCAGCGGTGCTTCAGGGCTGATTGGACTTGGTTTCTGTTTCTTTCTCACAGAGCTGGTGGAGATCCCTGTAACACGGCCCTTATCACTGGACTGCCTGGATCCTGACTGGAGCACTACCAGAACCTGGGCCTGGAACACTAGCTCCCATAGAACTGTGCTCTGGTACAGGCTGGGTCCTGCAGGGTCTGACAGGGAACTGGTTCTGGAGGTCCAGTTTGAGGGCAGTTCGACTTGGTGCAGAGGAGATCTGCTAGCACACATAACAGGCTGCACTATGGAACTGGTCCCCAATGGGACCAGAGGGTCGAGGAGATATGAGCACCCGATGTGGACTCCTTCTCCAGCTCAGGCAGGCCGGTACCGTTGCGAGTGGACTAACGGAACTTACCTCTTCCACAGGACTTTTCATCTCAAGGTCAAAGGTCAGATCTCTTGGTGTGTTGTTCATATTGCATTGCTGAATTCAGGGCACCCTGCAGAGCTCAGCTCGTGAGCAGTGCCCTGACTAGTTTTAAGATTACTGTTTCTCAGCCCTTTGTCTCCCTGCAGCATGCAGTCCCCTGCTTAGCCTCCTACCAGTGGTTCCACCCTTATTCTGTCTCTGCTAGACCATGGTGCCTCTTCTTAGCAAAAGCTCAGCACCGAATTGGCAGTTTTCTGGTAGAGGATAGATGTGAAATGTTTATACCAGCCTTAACGTTTCCAGGATTTTCCATGAATCCAAGTGGGGAGGTATGTCAGTGTGCATTCGCTCAAAAGGAACAAGTAAGGGTTAATTCCACGCTGAAAAACAGAAAGGAGAAATACAGCATTTCTGCTGCTGAGTCTGCAGATTCTTCAGCGTGGACTAAAACTACTTGTTCCTTACTTGATCCTTTCCCATACACCATTAGATATTGATCACACCAGGAATGCACAGTGCTTTACTAAACCTTACCCAGCTTTTACCCTTCTGCATCACAGAAAACCTTCAGTCACCTGGTTGGATTCTGTTAAATGCTAACTCAGCTAACAGTAATCGACAGACAACACACTGATTGCTCAGAACAGAATAGCATTGTCTGGATCTTATTTAGATTTTTGGCTTTCTGTGTTGTGCATGTGACATGAGATCATCTGCAGATGAGAAATATTTCCTCTGGCTCCCTCTAAGTGCTGCAGGACTCCCTCTCTCTGTCCCCACAGAATCTGCCCAGAGGCATCACCGCAGCCATGCCACCACAGCCCTGGTCCTGGCTGTGCTGGGCATCACCATAGCGCTGGCTGTGCTGGGACTGGTGATTCGCAGCAGGAGAGGTCATTGGCATTGTGGGTAATGGCCAGCAGTGCTGGTTTGGGGCTCACTACAGCACCCCCACTACAAGTCAGCTCAGTCCTTTCAGTAACAGGGCTTTAGGGGGGACCTCAGTAAACATTGCATTGCAAGTGTGTTTCTGGGAAAGTATTATTTTGGCAGGAAATATGCATTTTTTTAGAAATCCCACACAACAAGATTAACATGTTAACTCCCTCAGCGTACGTGAGATTCTGCACTGCTCTAAGCCAGCATTAGAAACCTCTAATGAAATCTTCCAACCTCTCAGTGGGAGGCACTGTCAATGTCAGACTTACTGTACAACACTGCTCCAGGCCAGAACAGACCCATGACAAACTGGTGGAACCAGTGGAATATGAAGTTCAATTTCACACTCCGTCATTCTTATCTCACCCTCAGGCGTTAACAGGATAGCATTGGTTTGAGCAGAACATGTTTAATTGCCACATATTATTCAATCTAATTCTTTCAATTCACATATATTTGGGTAGGCTTCTAATTTTCTGGCCAGCAAGTGCATGTCCCCATGGCCTGTTTTACATTCTGACACTGGGCTGTGGAAGACCAGGAACATGAAAATCCACTACACTTATTCCAGTTTCCAGCTCTCTGTGAGCCAGCTGACATACTATGTAAATAATACACAACTATTTAAAATCAATTTACAAGCAACTTATTAATTTACAAAAGGAATCCCTTACAAGGGTAACTTATAACTGTAATGGATTCATTTTTTAAAAGTGACTTCCTGTACACTGCCTGCACTTCTCAGTGATTGATTACATCACTGTCTCCATTCCCCAGTGGCCCCCAGCACAGGAGGCAACTGCCTCAAATCAGAAACACTACTGGGCAGTTAGGTTGGTATGAAAAGTCTGATGTACTACAAATTCCTCCCCACTTATTACTGAAATTCACAAAAGTGAGTTCAAATTATGAGCTGAAATTGTGTCACAATATGGATACATTGTGACATTATTATTTAAATAATCATCATGCTTTGAATAAAGTATATTTTAAAAAATAGCATTAGTTCCTTCAGAACTGAATTTTTGTGAGTAGGACATTCCTTTATGCCTCAGAATGTAGCTGGGTGTCATTGCTTGTCATGTGTGCAGAAGTCCACACAGAGCTGACCCAGGTCTCACTCCTGCATCTCTTTTACAGCTGGTCAGCAGCCCATAAGGTACCGAATTGATGTCACTCAGGTGAGTTTCAAGAACTCTCAAACTAAAAAAAAATAATTGAGCTTTCTATAAAAATAAATAACATTCTAGTTCCGGATTCTTTGTGCTTGGTGTCCTCAGACTCGGCAGATTGTGTACTCCACGATCTGGGTGTCCCCGCCACTTGTCCCTGAGGCGACGGAGGCCGACAGGAGAGAAGAAGACCCTGTGTATGTGAACCTGGTGCATCGGAATGCGGAGCAAGCTGTGTACAGTGAGGTCCGGACAGGAGCACAGAGGGAAGGAGATCAGTGATGACCCTCCACCTAGGAGCCATGCTCAGCAAAGCCCTGGTGCTTACTGGCTGTACCACCGCTGTGGTGGGGGGGCTGGAAACGTTAAATGTCGAGCAGGATTTCTAAATCCTCCCACATTGACGCCCCTAACCCCACCAGAATTACTATACTGTGTCATTAAAGTACACTCACACGACACAGTCTAGGGAATGGCTGGGATCATGGCCAAGATGGACACCTGTGCAGTCTCGCAGTCAGAATGTTTTGGGGAGCATACACTGTGTTTATTTACAGACGAGCTCTTGCTTGTATACAAACTTCAAGAAAGGCAATGATTTGATGATGGTCCCTTAGCAGCAAGAAGTTAAGAGCTGGTGCTCCATGTCCAAATCTGTGCAAACTCCAATAAAGGATCTACACAATTGTGTTGTCTGTGATCATTGACTGCTAACTTGAGTGCTTCTTTTTCCACTCCTAACAAACTTTATTTTCAGAACTAGCAAGGAACTAGCAACAATACTGGAAAGCACAAGATCACACTTACCATACATTCTATTGTTTATTTGTAGAGCTATTCTCATATTCTTCTTTTCCAATGAAGATTCTAGTGTATGCCTAAGAATATATATGATTTCAATACGGCTATTTCAGTTCTGTTCAATAAAAGACAGTTCTATGGCTGGTTAAAAATATTTTGTTTTGGGGTTAGAGTATGACTGTGAGACTGTGTGCCTTTTTTGTTCCTACTTGAGATGTCAGTTAAACAATTAACCCTATAACCATCTAAATTACACATGCTTAGGACTATTCCGAAGTGTAATTTTACTGATTACTCAATTCATTTTCTCCATTAAAGATACAGTTGTCTGTGTCAAAGCACCAGGACCTAAGGAGCTGGGAGAGAATGACTCAGACAATCAAGAGGATAATTAAGTGCCTCTACCGGCTCTGCAATACATTCTTAATGAGGTCTTGCTAGTGCATTGTACAATTTTAATATATCATCTGTCTATTTTCTAACAGAAAAAGCAACATCATCAAAGAGGGTCTCTCACTTTTCAATCTAAGTTCATTTTTAAATTTCCCAGCATCTGACCCAATTAAATGCTTCAATGGTTCAGATCTAGTAAAACATTTTCTCTCTGAATTTTGAAGGTTCAATTTTGTCATTAGAGTTTTCAAGCTTTTTTGTGACATAGTTACCAAATTGTTTTTCTATAAAACAAATCCACCTTCTAAACAACATAACTGAACCAAACAATACTGTTGCTACATCACAAAAATGTGACAGCTGAGCACAGACTCCCGGGCAATGGCTCTTTATGCATTCTGCACAGTGACGTTACAGCCAAAGTAACGCACCGACACAATGTTGCTGCAACATTCACTTGTCAGCTTGGATTCAGTTATATTCTAACATCTAAGTACCTGCAGAATACATCACCAAGTAACATCTAAAAATATATACAAACAGCAAATGTCTTAAGTGTTTGTAAGGCTGCTACATGTTTGGTTATGCGGAATTCACACACAGCATCATTGGAAAACATTGGAAAACAATGCTGTAAAATATTGCTGACAACATTACTGAACCGCAACTTTGCGGCAACATTTGGAAATGTTGTTACAACAATATACATTAGCTGGGATACCCTAATTTTCCGTCCTGTGCTCCTATTGCATGTCTATTCACTTTGGACGTATGAATTTTACTATTAGGAAAATTGGAATTTTAATATTAGGAAAAGCAGAGCTACAGAGGCATTCACCACCCTGGCCCCCTGAAATTAATGAAATATTTCCTGTCCTAATTTCAAGATGCAAATTCCCCCCCCCAGTGGAATCATCCTGGAGCGTTGTTCGCTTGCAAATTTGGAAGCTGTGCGTTTCATCCCCCTCTTGGGGGGCAGGAAAGGTCTATAAAAAGTGTGTCCGCATGCAGCGTGGAGTTCGCTGGGCTCCTGCAGACATGAGGGTCTCCTGCGCTCTTCAGCTCCTGCTCGTGGGCACCTGTCTGGGTAAGAGAGGGGACGTTTACACCGTTGTGAGTCTCAAAATGTGCAGGATGAGAGCCTGTGTGTCCTAATTGCTGTTTTACCAATTACTAACTTTTGTAACAGTAAACTGTGATTTTAGGTAACTTTATCTATTTTCTTCACTAACATTTTGACAGGAATTCCTAAAAGTAATTTATTTTAGACCTTCAGATACTTTACAACCTTTATCTGAGATTTTCTTATCAGATTCTCATCTAAATTTGAGAGAACTGAAATAAATAAATAATGTATAAATATTTATGAATAATATTTATTAAATAAAGTCAGGCTTGAAGGTGCTTTATAGGTAACTGTGTTTCTACTTAAGTACATTTGTTGTGCAATTATCTGTAAAACATCTTTAGAAAAACTCTTTATGTATGTAATGAAGAAATTTGTTAGGTTAATTGTTTAATTGGCTACTCAAGTTAGACAAATTCCAGAAAACACCAGGCCGTCCTGGAACTGAGTCTGACATCCCTGGTTTATGTTCAGATGTTTAGCTAAGTTTTTCTGTTCAAAGTGGTATGAAGAGACTCATTAGTGCACAAAGGAACCAGTGGCAAATCAAGGAGAGAGGGCTCTATATTTGCTACCTAGCTGCAGAACAGAGGCAAGTAGGTTGAGCGACTTTCTGTAAGACACACACTCCATTTAAAACCCACTACAGGAGTGCAGAGGCTGATTTGGAATTAATAATCATAGAGACACATTGCACAAATACTGCAGTTATCAAACAGAAACACACTCAGTAAAGCATCTGAATGAATTAATGGCCTGGTATTTAATGGCATGGCTTGGGCTTGTATGAAGCATTGCTGTGGGCTGGACGATGGGTAACACTGCAGTGGCCACAGGTTCAGACAGAGCGGTGAAACTGCTTCTGCTGTGATTTGAGCCGCTTAGCTGAGGGCCAGCCCCAGGGCTGCCAGAGGCCGGCTGAGACCCCAGCAGAGCGGAGGGGACCGAGGGCAGCGGGGACAGGGTGCAGGAGAGGATTAGTGACAAGAGAGGGACTAACGTTTGATACAGACAGCTCTGAGAACGGCAGTGGGAATGATCATGATTTCAAACAGCTGGGGAGAAATGCTTGGTTGTCATCATCTCACCTAAATGTCTGTTAAGAACTTCCATTAAGGATCTTTCTTATAATGAAAAACAGTCTTACAGCTTCCGAAGACGAAAATGAACAGTATCCGTGTCCTCCAACTACAAAGAGCTTGGAACAGGATGGGATCACGTATATTTTGAAACTTTCACTCTCAACCACAATTTCTGACTGGCAGACACTCTGATTCCAGAGTTTCCCGCTCCTCGCTGACACCGAGGCACGGAGCTGTGCTGTTCGCCTCATCCCTCAAAACTTCCGTTTGGAAGCTGCCAAAACGCAATCAGCTGGCAATGGGCTGGTGAACAGAACACTGAAGAACAGCAACAAGATTGTTTCCATATATGAATATACATATTTACGGAGGCCAGCTTCTCTGTCTTTCAGCCTGGTTTACATATCTTTCCCAAGGGAGCATGAGTCTGTATCCAGACATGAGGTCTATGTAAATGTTTCAAAGACCTGACAAAGTCTGTTTTGGCTAAATTCAAATCTAAGCTGGCTGGTTACTGACAAAATAACATTTAAAATATAATCTCATCTTCTTTTTTTACTTATCTACATCTCTAGACACAGAATTGTTTAATCTTATTGAACAACCTAGAACAGATGGCTTGATTTACTGTTGAACATTTTCTTTCATTTTTTCCCATTGAGGTCTCATAGAATAATCATTTGGGGAGCTGATTCATTCACCTGCTTTTTTCTGCTAGATAGTATTTTTTTCACAATTGTAAACATCTTACACAGAGAGACAAATAAAACATCCACAGCAAGAATTTCTGACCTAACCACTCAGGGCTGCAACCTAAGAAAACATTGTAAAGCTAAGATGAAATATAAAAATCTTATTTGTAGTGGAAAGAATTAAGGTAAGAGCCTGCCAGGGAACAAATGAAATCCATTTGACACTGACAGAAAGATTTTTTAATGTAACAGTTTCACGTCATTCTCCAGCTCCGTCTGTTTGGAAAGTCCATATTCTAAGTTCTTGTCATGAATCTGATGTGTTGTACAAGCTCTAGACCAGTCCTTTGGTCTTGAGTTCAGGATTATGCGGGTCCCTTCTTGTGGGAGAGAGTGGGGTGAAGACCTTGAGCCTGCTGCTGGAGCTCAGCTGATTCCGAGACCTTCCGGGCCCACTTGGGTTCTGCCACAGCGGCAGGGATACACCTGGGCTCCGGTCAGCGTCTTGAGCACGGGAGCTGCGCAGGGTCTGGGCTGCTGTTCTGAATCCCATGTGTTTGGCCAGAATAAAAATACAAAATCCCAAAACTACTCAATGAGGCCAGTGATGCTATCAGCAGGACTCTATCCACCTTCACAATCTGGACGTGTGTGCGTCGGTGTTTGTATCTGGATGTGCTCTATGATGGACTGACAGGGTTTGTGCCCATTGCTCTGCCAGGTTAGACTCCAGCTCCCCTTTGTGCCTCAATTGGATAGAGCAAATAGAAAATGGTTGGATGTTTGTCGTGGTTTTTCAGTTTGGGCTGGAGTTTAGGACACCTTGCCTGGATTAAGCATGGCTTGACTGTGCATGAATGCGCTCTGTTGCAATCTCCCTGTGCAGACCTATGGCTGACCGTTGGGGTGGAAGCGATGAAGCCACATCAGCACGCTCTTCTCTTGCAGGATGTCTGCCGTCGGACAGCGAGGTGTTTAAGTGCAGGCTGCTGGCGGGCCTCCTGAGGCAGATTGACGCGGGGGCCGGGCAGGTGTACGGCCTGGAGTTCGATAACAGGATCGTCAGGTACACCGGCGGGTGCTGGGCCCGCGTGGAGGGTCTGCTCAGGCACATCACGGTTGGGACAGGGGGAGTCTGGGGCGTCGACACCAATTACAGCATCCAGACGCTGGTGAACGGCAGCTGGGTCCGCACGGACGGTACGTAGCTCCTGTCCTCCGCCTCTCACGTCACACTGCCAGGCCTCAGATCTCTTGCTGTTGGACAGGAGGGATTCCTTCCAAAAATAAGAACTAAACGAATGCTTGCCTGGTATTTCAAAGTAGAAGGAAGTACACAAATGTGTGGATTTGTTAGGGAAGGAGCTGTTGGCTTTCATGTTGTGAATGAAATGTTTATTTCTTCAACGCATCACACCAGTTGCTGAAGAGCTGTGAATTTGTTTTGATTAATGGAGAACGGAGAGGCTCGTTGTGAGGCGAAGGCTTGTAGAGCTTCACAAGACTCAGCTGTGAGAGCAGACCTGGAAGAGCCTGGTTTGGGGGCAGCAGGCCACAGTTTTCACTGATCTTAAGCATGCTGCTGAAACTGAGTCTCAGCGACAGACACACCCTGGCCTCAGGTTGTGACACATCCTGCCATCCAGCATGCTTTACAGCTTCAGCCACCTAGGAGCCCCCATTCAAATGATTTCCTGGCCAGCACTTTATTACTGTAACCTAATTTTATCTCAATGTCCTTCACATAACAGAAAGCTAAAGAAGAAGTCAAGGAACTTAAAAATGACTAAGAAGGAGGAAGATAGGAAATCAGACACTTCACAGTATCAGAGGTTGATGGCCTTGCCGGTACAGAAGGGTTTTAAGATCTTGTCTGAGATGACAGGGAAGCAGGGTCACCTGGTCTGGGGACCTGCAGCAGATCACACTGACCTGATCTTCACGACCGCGGTGAGGTTTGAAGAAGAGCAGGTCAGTGAGGTAGGAGGGACCCTTCTCTTTTAGAGCCATAAAGACCAGGAGCAGCTCTTTGAAATCGTCTTTCTGGTGGACAGGGAGTAAGTGGTACTTTTCTAGAATAGGGAAAGAATATGATTACCTGTTTCGCAGGGAATCTTAAGCAAATCGACCTCGGGGGCGAAGGTTTTATTGCCGGCGTCAGCTCCTGCAACAGCGCCTTCTGCCTGAGCACCGATCCGGCCGCCCCCCAGCGCCAGACCGTCCCGCCTCCCTGGACGAAGATCCCCGTGAAGCTGGACTACCTCTCCTGCGGGCCGTACTCCTGCTGGGGGGTGAGCGGGGACAGCCAGGTCTTCGTGCTGACGGGCGTCTCCCGCAGCTACTGCTCCAGCGGCGAGAACACCACCCAGACCGACATCCACGCCTCCCAAGTGAGTGGGCACATGGCCAGGATCGAGGTGGGCGCCGACGGCAGCGTGTTCGGGCTGAGCACCAACGGCATCGTCTACCAGAGGTACGGTGAAGCCCCGCCGCTCGGCTCCAGCTCACCAGCCTGCGGTTTCAGATGTGTACCCCTTCCGTCCTGGCTGGCCGGTGCTGAACACGGCATGAGCGCTGTCTGAGCTTCACTGCACATATTAGAGCACAGAGCTGCTAGAACATGTCCCGGGGTTTGGAAACACGGCCAAGACAAGTGAAAAAGATGGAAAGGATTGTCCATTACCATTGCACGCATCACGGACAGTGATCCCTAAATACCACAACAGTCCTTTATTTCCCCAGAACCACCAGAGCACTCACAGACCAGACAAGAGACTCATCCTATATATGTAACTGCCCTTTAACAATCACGAAATTCTCACTGCTAAGCCAGAAAAGGGAAAAGGACAGAAACACACCGAGCCTTAAGGAGACACTATACTGTGTAGACAGACCATACAGTGTCTGACACCTGTTCCCACAAACTAACTTTGGTTACTCTGTGACAATGAAACCGTTAAACTCTATACAATTGACAGGTGTTTTACAAGATGGCGTCATAATGGTAACTGATTGCTAAGGTACCTGCGAGGTCCTGCACGGTGAGTGGGACAGCAGGCTCCACGCCTCAGGAAGCACACAGGGCGCCGCTCAAAGCTCGCTATTCTGCGGGAAAGAGCTCACAAGCGGTGTCCTCAGCCGCTCTCCCGTCTCTGTGTCCCGCAGGCACGGCGTCACCTCCCGGAACCCCGTTGGACACTACTGGCTGCGGCTGCTGAGCAGCGAGGTGTCCAGGAGCCTGTCCTACGACGACGGCGTGCTGTGGCTCATCGGCCAGAGCGGCCGCATCCGGCGCTGCGCGAGGGCCAGGCTCAGCGTCTGACCGCGACCTCTGACCCCAGGGTCGTCCGCACCTGCGGCAAGAGGAGCTAGTGTCTCCATACGAGCACGATAAAAATGCGCCGCAACTAGGGAGGCTATAGTGAAACTTTCAAGCGGTTCTACAGCTCTTATTGGATATTAACCAGGTTTATGTGTGCTATACAACAGGACTGGGCAGCGGCTGTGTGATCTTCTCACTTCTTTTTCAAACGGCGCTCATGATTTTTCTCAGATGCAGTTTTAAGATAAGGGGAATAAGGACCTGTACTCTAAGTAATTGTCCAGTTACACACCAGATCAGAGAACTCCAAGTCACAAATAAGACCGCTTTTTTATCCATTTCTTTTCGTCACCAGTCGCTGCCCGTCTAGTCACGCGGTTAGCAGTCATGACAGGACTCGCCTGAAATTGCTTTCCGCTGTTTGTCTCCTTCAACCTGAATGTATAAGATACCATTATGCTGCTACTCTCTTTGGATTCCAGAAAGACGATGAAAAAGCATGCCTTTACCAGCTTCCTTTAGTTTTATGCTTAATAAACAATCTTGACAACATAAAAAAGCGTGTTTCATTATGAAGTGACCGACACCTCAGAGTAGTTATTCGCAGTATTTAGGGCTTGCAGTCAGTTCCACTTATACTCCTTACGTAAGGGTTTAGTAAAATAAATTATTTTGAAACGTTAGCTATTTTAGCTCTCTCTGTAGTATTGTAACGCATACGGCGGACATTGCAGGTTGTTCGAGCCGGCTTACCAGCGCGGTGACGTCACCGCCCTTCCCTGTGAATAGCAGGAGCGCAGCCGCTGGGCTGAGGGGAGATCTCTCCGGGTCCCTGTTGAGTGACGCCCGGGTTCGAGTCCCCGACAGTGGGGGGGGTGACTTGAGGCGGCAGCGGCAAGGGCGCATACCCACGTGAACCCGAAAACGCTACAATACTTTGACAATGAACACAATGAAATTAGTCATTTCATCAGCACGACTTCAGAAGATTGTCAAAAAAACGGATGAAGCAAAATGAGATCTAAGAAAACCTACATTACAGGGATGAAAATTTAATGTTTAACAGGATACCGCAATAAAAAGAAAAAAATAGTTTTCGTTTTCAAAGACTACCGCTTTGCATTAAAATCCAGATGCTTAGCTCTGCAGTGCAGTAGGACAAACTGGTCCGTTAAGTAATAAATAATCAATGAAACCGCAATTTTATTCCAAAAAGGATCTGAGAAGCACTTCTGTGTGTGTGCTCATTAACCTATTCGGAATATATAGAGAGAGAAAGATGCACGGACACCATATATTCACCCTCCCCGCAGCGCGCATGCGCAAGGCGACTTGAGTCGCACATGCGCAGTCCGGCCGCACGATATTCTGCACAAGAAGGCGAATTTGTGTTGCAGGGATATTAGATATCTATATATATAAACTTCACAATCCCTAGACAGGCAACAATCTATTAGATTTTCTCCTTTCTCCGTTTGTGTTGTCCACTGATTATCTAAATAAAGGAAGATAAAATATAACGAATTTTCGACTTTCTATACGTACAGCACAGCTACGTATATGGTGATGCCGGTTGCTTTCCGCATATGTTAGGAATGTTTTTTTTGTTGCCGTTTCCCTTCACTTAGTATTTATAAATTGTTAGATAACATAATAGCTCCTTTAAAGGATAGAGGCCCGGGAACCAGACACCCATAACTGCTGTGTCACTAGAGCGCCGCCTACTGTTCAAGCAGCGCACAGGTCCGAGCTCAAGTGTTTCGCTTTCTTTTTCTGAAAGTAAATGTGTTTTCCTCGGTCGCATAGGAAAAGGACATTAAGGTAAGATCGGAATTTGCAGATTAAATAGAAAGTGTTTATTTCTCTACGAAAACATGTTTCTCCCCACGCACATGAACCCAGTCTCGGCAGACGCGGATAATTTCGCCATTTTCCGAAGTGCTGCAGCGCTGCGGACTTCCTTAACCTTTTTGTGAACAGTTTTTGACACCCACGTCTCCTCGGCGATGCGAAAGGCTTTGTTTCTGCACTGGAGTAACAAGTACGATGCGATAAACACTCTACGTCGACAACACATGTACTAGCATATTGTCCGCCTGTGCATGTGTTCAGTTGCGTTTCAGGAGAAAACGTGGAAATTAGGTCTTTCCTCTGTTTAAACTCGACTAATGAGCTAATGGTATCGAAATGGAATCAAAACCAAAACACGAGATAACGCCTCGAGGTTAACGGTCCGCGGCGAAACGTCTCACTATGTTACTAACTCATCAATAATCTGATCGCAAACGGAACCGTGATTGATTGCGGTATAAAGGGCACTTGCTCAGGGATCAGCAAGGCAAGGTTCCAAATGGCTGGGATGCATGAAGGAAAAATATATTTAACTTGAATGTGATTGATGCCCAGAGATAGGAAACGCTAATTAAACAACCAATGACCTTTCTGAATATGATGTGCGTCAGTTCGTACACGATTTTCACCACCACAGTAAACTTATATATTGGTAACGGTGCTCTTGTGCCACATTGCACGTCGTTATTTTACCATAATAATAAGATATTTTAGTACTGTATGTAGGAGGTCTAAGCGGACCTCTTCATTTTACAAACGTTTTAGTCTGACAGTAAATCAGTTCCCATTTAGTTCCCTGTTCATGGTGTCCACGAATACTTGGCTCAGCTGTCGCAGGTGAAGGTTTCGCCATTAGTGTACTTTAAATAACTGTAAATAATAGCGTAACCCCCCTTCTACTGCCGGAAGTACAAATTCCAGTGAATTAATAAAATGCATTTGCGTATACATTAGACAGCTTAGACAACACCTATCTGAATTCAGATAGAATGTTTAGTACATTTCAGGGATATGTCCTTCATATTGTTATATGTATTTGACGGGCGATTCGGTCCAAAATAAATTATATTCACACTCAGCCAGATGTGCGTTTCGGCAGGAGCAGTGTCCCACTCAGGACTTGAAACCACAGCCTGCTGGTTACAGGTCCCAGTGCTTTAGGGCACTGAGAAACATCTTTCTTCAGGCGGGGGAACTTGGTTCAGAGTAAACTGATTTGTGAAACATTGAATGCAATTTACACAATTTGCTTCTATCGACACTATTCTTCATACTGGAACACTTAAAGGAGCAGAAAGAATTGCAGGAATTGCCTTATTTTATGATAGAAAAGTCATTCGTCAGGTGGAAGCACACCCCTTTATCCATGTGTACATTACTGTAAATGCCTCTTGTGTACTTTGGCTACTTCTTAAGGTGGCCAGCAGAGGGTTGTAGGCTATCAAGAATGGAGAGAGTTTTATGCTGTGCTTCAAATGGGAAATCATCAATTTCTTTTATATCTTAAATAAATAATCATAAATAGTCATTGTTTTATTTTCTACAGCACCTTTAATGTTAGAATCATTGTAATACGATTTATAATAAAAATGCAATAAGCAAAAGATGAGAGAGAAGTATAAACTCTGTAAACTATAAACACTCTAAAATACTTAAGTGTCCTTCATTGTAAAGCCGGTACAAATATGAAAGAACAGAGCACAGGCTAGCGCTCTAAAATTTCAGAAGAAATGCATTATAAACATTTTCGCAACAAAAAATCCAAAAAATGTTTAAGCCCGTATACATCATTTGTGATTCAGCAAAATGAGAGATTTGAAGGGGTTGAATAATCCCTTGAAGAAATTCTCTGTTATTTAACTCTTCTGAATAAACAAATCTCTTAATGTCCTATAAGTACAATTTGATAATGTGCTTCTGTGATCCTAGCCAACAGTAATACCCGTCTGGCAGCTGGACACTACTGAATCACCACCTCCCATTTTATTCTGAATGATAAGCTGAAAATATGGCCACAAACTAAAATCTGTTCTTTCAGTGCTTAAGAACCCATGTAAGAGAACGCCAGATGTGAAGTGAGCAGGTGCTTTATCATGCACATGGGGTGGTGTGTTGGCCTGGGTTCTCATGAGGCTCTGTCAGAGCACTGCCACACAGCTTGGGGCTGCGGCTCACGATGTCAAGGTTGATCTTTGGAACGGTGCAGTTGGACATCAGAAAGGCGACAGTCTAGAGGAGGCCATGTGGTGGTTTTTAGCTCCTTTTGTTTGCTGGCAGTTGGTCAGAGATCTGGATCTCTGGATCAAGCAGTTTGCTTGGACAGTGGGGTTTGAGAAGGAACTTCTGTCTTGACCCTGCATCAAGCAGAAAAACTGTCCTCATGCCATGGTTCACCCTTTCAGCCTCACTTTCATGAACACCTCATTGATTCCAAGAGAGATGCTTTAAACAAAATAAAAACCTACAAGCCCACTGGCAGCGCCTGAGCTTTGTGTATTTGGTCAAGGTTTTGTTGTTTTTTAATCGCAGGGTTAAAATAACATGTGGAGGAACAGATAATCATTCCCATTTGCCTAATATTCATGAATATTTATGAAAAAAACAAATTCCTCCTGCTATTGGTGTGTGGGAAGCAGTGTGTACCTAAAGAATAATCATCTCATCTCACTTTGTTGATTTAGAAAGAACACCTTACCTTCTGAAGACTTCAGAGCTGCACCTCAGTGCAGGAGAGCTTCCTGTTGTTCATTCTGTTGGGTTTCCTGTCTTCATTCTTTTGGTACGTTTTGTTCTCTGAGTCCTGTAGAATTGCTTTCACCCTCAGGATAGATGAACATATTCCCCTTTGGTTTTCTATCCCTGCAAAATGTACTTGTAGAAAGATTGGAAGCCAAGGGTCTCCAGTTTGTGTTTCTGTATCCTCAGCCTGCAGGAGGGGAAGGAACAGTGTTCTTTGGGGTGCACTGTGAGATCCACAGAGCCAGTAGGAGAGGATGAGTAGTATGCAAAAAGGATTGTGGTTCTTCCACCAATACTGCATTGGTTTTATAAGAAATTACACCTAAACATGTCTTCCTATAATGCATCTGAACTGTAAAGAATGATGCATCATTTTCAGTTGAAGCACCACTTGAGAAATATTTCTGCATTTTTTCACATTTAAACTTTTCATTTTCCTTAAATGTCTGGGCGGAGTTCCTCGCTGGACATCATGGTATCTAATTCTCTTTTCTACCTTAGGATGTCTTCATTCAGGAATAGATAAGTAAAACAAACAAACAAACAAACAAACAAACAAACAAACAAAATTCTCCAATAAATCCTGCTTTTTCAGAGCAGCTTTGATTTCAGTTTGAGACTGGGGGCTGCGTGCAGCCCAGGCAGGAGTTATAATCAGACGTGTGGGTGATAGATGGGGGTTTGGTTGGCTAGTGGAGTGGATGCACTCAAGAAGGTAGAGTTTATGCAAACAGGTTTCCCAGGCTTGGACTAACAACTGAGGTAAACAAAACATTTGATTTTGATTTATATCTGTATCCAGACCAGCCTTGACAGTCTTGCCAAACACAGTCTTTAACACTCCCAAGTTCATGTTCATATTCTTTGTGTTCTGAAGAGGATAAAAGCACATTGATCACACAGCATTTAGAAGGTTGATTTAAGAATTCGACAGGCGAGCACAAAGGACTTGGTCTTGTGTTTGATTCCTGGCTAGGAACATAGTGGATGAAAATTTGATAGTTGGAAACACTGCATGAATATAAACTGAACTTGCTGTGTCTTCAGTAGGAAGAGAAAACCTGGAGGGTAGTCTCGGTGTTCCCTGCTGCTGCAGCTGAGCTGGTGCTGTGTTGCAGATGGCAGAGGAAAGGAGGACGGTGCAGGTGACTGGCTTGCCCACTGGCGTTTCCAAGGAAAGGCTGGCAGACAAGCTGGCCATCCACTTCTTAAGGACTCGGAACGGAGGCGGCGAAATAATCGGCATCACGATACCAGACGACTCCTCCACCACAGCCCTCATCACCTTCGAAGACAGTGAAGGCGAGTGCAGGGCGGGACACAGCTGGGGAACACAGGCCCCTGAGCTCTCAGGAAGACGTACTTCGACCCAGAGGGAATCACAGTTCTGACCCCGCTGTTAAAACCCAACTTCTGTCAAACTGAGAGCTAGAGTCAAGTGCAGAGTTTGAAAGTTGTGAGTGACAAAGGGGTCAGGGTTCAGATTTTATGTTGGCCTTAATGTGACAGCAGTACACAAACAGAAATACAAGCAGATTCTTACTGCGATTAATGTCACCATTTTGTAGTGTTAGGTCTGCAGTGCTGCAGTCTAATTAATAGTAATTGTATATGTCGGTGCTGACTGTGATGATAGTCCTTGTTTGTCAAGAACAGAGGCATAATTGTAACCTTTAAAATTCTGTAACAGCATGCATGAAAAGGACTAAATGGTATTTTGAACTGTACTATCTGATGTGCCTTAGGTGGGCATTCTAGGCCCCAGAGTGGTTTGTGTGGTATAAATGAATTGGACTTGTTTGTTTAGTGGCCCAGAGGGTTTGCAGTCGAGGGAAGCACATTCTAGCTGTGAGTGACCAGCAGTATGAAGTGACCGTGAGCCTTCCCAGCAGTGATGTCAGCCCAGATGAGGTAAGAGCCCCTCCCAGGTTTCTTGATGAGTGTTCAGATTGATTCTTGGCTGCTGCTCCTGGTTTTTTAATTTGCTAACTATTCCACCTAAAAAATAGCTTCTGAGAGTGCACTGCAGTGTAATTATGAGATGGTGCAGAAGGAAAGTAAATTAATGTATCCAAGCCAACTTCCACATTTAGAGCACATTCTGCTTCTCCAGTAATGCCACAAGATGTCAGTCATTAGAAATCGGATTCCTTTGGAAACGCGTAGTAATCAGTGTGCATGATCTCAACAAAGGCACATGCTTGTCAAGGGAAATAAATGTAGCTTGATTTATAAAAGAATGCTTACTTATGAACTTACATTCACCTGCACAGATGATTTCATGAATTGATTTAAGGTTTGACAACAATCTTCTGTCATCGTATGTAAGGAGTATGAAGCAAGATCATTACAGCCTGGTGATTACAGCCCTGCAAGGTCTGTCTCTTAGAAAGAAGTGGTTCAAAAACTCAGAAAAAGTCATTACCGCCAAGATGATCTTATTGAATCAGTAAATTGTGCTCTTAATGCAGTGATAGTGTTGGACATTAAGAATAACTCTGAATATGTGGATGAGTTAATTTACTAATGGGCTGTCTACAGGGACTGAAAGAATTTCCCAGAAGCAAATTTTCTAAATAACAATTACAATGCATTTTTCTGAAATGCCTGATAAGGTGCTATTTCCGTTGACTTAAAGGTGATGTTAAACTTACTGCAATAAAAATACTTAATTTTAAGTTCCATAATACAAACCTATTACAATGACAAAAATAGTTTGTATTTATTAAGGTCTGTGACAGGGAAAAACTATTAGAACTTGTTGCTGGGCTGCAGAAAGATATGGAAAGAAAAAATATATTATTCAAAAGTAACTTGAAATAGGTATTTTCTATACATTCTGATCCTTCTATGCAAGTTTGCATGCTCTCTAGGTGCTACAGTTTCTGTAGGTTAATTGATGCCTCTATATGTTTTGCTGTATGTCTATGTATCTATGTGGTCCTACACTGTCCCCACCAGGGTGTAATCGCTTCTTGTGCCCCGTGCTTGGAATAGGGTTGGGTTGCCACACCCCTCACCAGGAATGATGGGTAAATGAGCTTGAAATGAGCAAGCTGTTGTCCGGTCTTACTAAATTGGCCTAATTAATCATTTGGCTATAGAACTTGTTTCGGTGTTACAAATCTAGACTGGGAAAGAAAACATTGAATGCCGTAAAATATTAAGCCCGAAGAATGAATGAAAGATTCACCCTTTATGGTATTCTCTTCCTGTGTCTTTCCCAGATCTTCCTGCAGGTGGCTATGACTGTGGACTACGGCAGGCTGCCTGCTGGCAGAGCCACGATGAGGACTCTCAAGAAGAACTTTGTGGACGTGCAGTTCAGCTTTGACCAGAGAGAAGAGCTGTGCACTGTCAAAGGTCGCTTCTCTGACATTCAGGACCTTGCCAACGAAGTGCTGAGCCTTCTGCAAACATCTGAGCCTGCTAAATCCCCGGTCCTCAAGACGAGCGAGAAGAGCCCAGGTCCTACTGGGCAGGAAGACCATTCCCAGAAGGCTGAAAGGAAGAAGGAGAACAAGATGAAGGAGCGTGCTCCATTCCCGGTTCCCAGGAGTCCCAGCCCGCTCTGTCCTGAGTCTACTGGGGCTGGGCATCTGGACAGCACAAGACATGCCACAGAGGCTTCGGAGGATTTTAGCTTGATGATGGACTCCGATATTTACAAGTACATTCAGAAGCACGGTGAGGAGAAATACAAGCAAATCCTTTGCAAGCATAAAGTGGAGGTGGTGGATATTAGCACCAAAGACGTGACCACCTTGTTCTTACAGTCCAGCCTAGAAAATTTGGCAAGCATGGAAAGCTTACAGGAAGCCCACTGGGATCTGAGAAGTCTGTACCAGGAGTATGAGAACACGCTACGCAAAGAGCAGATCCTGAAGGAGGATATTACCGAGAGCAAATTGTGTTGCGAAATCCTACAGTTTCGCTATCCCAAGATCCTTCTGAGCGAAGATGAGACCTACATATACATCATAGGCAGCTCCAGCGATGTGTCAGAAGCCAAGCAATTCTTGCTGAATATCCAGATGAAGCAAGGAAGCATTGGAAAATATGACTCTGGAAACCCTTCTGCACTCTTGCCTACCAGGACCTCCCTGGACAATAAAAATGACAAACATCCCAAGCTAGGAGGCTCTGGTAAACCCGATGGTGGCAAAGATTATAGATTGGCTGCCAATTTCAATAGCTGCAAGGAGCCTGTGTGGAAAAGCAAGGTGCTTGGTGACGATGACCTCTTCTCCCGGCTGGGGCCAAGTGAAGGGGCTCATATGTTCTCCAGGGATTTTGCCTCCCAAGGAAGTCAAGCCTTTTCAAGCGGAGGGTTCTACCTGAGAGATCTCAAAGGCCCCGACCGGACAAGTGAAGACGTACTTTTCAAGAAATATGAGTCTTCTTCTGCCGGCAGTAGAATCAAAGACCGCCGCCCCTTCCAAAGTGGCACAACAGTCAGAGCCACAGGACCTGTGAAGGCTGTTCAGGGAGCTGCTGCATCGAGCACCTTCCACCACATGGACCTGTTTGCAGGTGGCGAGGTGCTGAATGACAGAGCCCTCACCACCACCTCACACAACTTTGAGTTCAAGCCTCTGGTGCAGCGGTCCAACAGCTTCTCGGGAAGGATTACATCTAAAGAGGACCGGAAACCGGCTGGTCTGAACAACATACCAACAAGGCAAAACAGAAACAGTAGCAGCAGCCCTGGAAAAGAAGATTCCCCTACAGCACAATTGTTTGTCTCTGAAGTTGTGTGGGTTTATGTGAAAGATGCCTACAGTGATCACATCGCCAGTATGACGTCAGGCATTCAGATAAAGGAGAGCAAAGAAAAAGGCTCCATAAAGCTGCTTCTGCTGGGGCTGGACCAGCTGAAGCTCAGCTTGTGCAAACAGGAGTTGCAGAGGCTGTGCTCAGTGGTGGAAATGGACCTCACCAGCACTGAGGTCAGCCTTTCACAGCTGGGCGTTACACATCCGAAGGATGAAACTTTGGAGATGTTTTGCAAGGAACTAAAAAACAAATATGAAAAAATAAAAATAGTGACAAGTGATTGCAGTGTCCGTGTCTGGGGCCCCAAGGAGTTGTGTGTGCTGGTGACCTATACACTTAAAGAGGTTTTCAGTGCAGGAAGTTTAAAATCCCAGCGATCCGTCTCAGAAGCCTACCCCACTGCAGCTTCCCTCTCCTCTGTAGTGGACACACATGAAGACGAGATCCAGTCCAGCCAGACCAAGGTGGAGGCATATTTGAAGGACCTGGAGTCTGCCTCCAGAAAACACAGCTCCAACAATGGTAGTCTCAGCCAGCACAGACCAGCGAACTCTGCCCTCTTCTCAACAGATCACTCGGAACATTCATCACATGACCTGACGTTGCAGACAGAGAAAGAGCTGAAGGCTTCCACTCAAGACGAGATGAAGGACAACACCCAGGAGACGTGGGTTGAGGAACAACATCAGGACCACTACAATTCAACTCTGAAGGGTAAAAATCATTCTTTAGCTAAGAAGGACAGGAACAGCATGTCAACACAGAAAGACTCTAATGTCACACAGAAATTGAGAAGAGGCACAGTGGATGGAGAGGCCGCCCTGACAATAAAAACCCTGAATACTAACAGGACCTTATCTGAAACCCACTCAAGGCTCATGGAGGTGCCCAAGATGGGTAATAAGACTGACAGCGGGTTGCAGTCGCTGCCTACATGGGCGTACAGTGCCCAGAAGATGGGTCTGCAGAGCAAGGAGTGTGATTTAGGAAACCTGAGAGATCCCAGCACCCGTCAGCAATGCCAGGGCTCCCCTAGTGATCCAGGCACAGAAAGTCCAGGTGCCAAGCTTCCCCTGCAGAGCTCTACCAAGACACAGGATGCCCAAGCTTGCGTGGTGCCCACTGAGACCTGCATACAGTGCCAAAATAGCAGTGTGTCCAGGACAAAATGTGGTATTTTACTCTGCATAGACTGCCAACTGAAGATCCATACCAGCTGTAGAGTTTGTGCTCAGCCCAGCGCAGTTGGCATCAAAGGCTCCATGACCTACACAGAGTTGTCCACCAGTCTGAGTGGACATCCCAGAGACATGACGTTAAAGATCACCTACATCATTCCTGATGGCATTCAAGGGGTAAGGCTGTTCAGAGGGTCAACAGAAAATTAGTCCAAACTGTGTGAAACAAGTCTTTACCTGGGCTGATGTTTAGCATGTGGTTGTAGAAAAATCAGGCTTTCCAGGGATAAGAAAAGCCACATGTTCCAGCCATCCTGTAAAATATATCAATACATATTTCCACAGGAGACTTTGTAAAACACAATTGATTACTTATCTGCCTATTCTGTAGTCTTCCTGACACAGAGCCTTCAAAAATGATTTCAGGGGCTATTTCTTCTGGAGCACAAAGTAAGCTCATTTCCCAGATAAACCTGAGTGTAGCATTTGCAAGATCCAGTGCAACTACAGACATACGAATTGACTTCATGCATCTTAAAATAATGAATTCACTCTAACATATCAGCTACGATGTTCCATACTGAGTGAGTCTTCATTAGAATTTATAGGAGGCTTCACAGACAAAAAAAGCGCAGCTTAACAATAAATCATTTTTATTTTATTAAGAAATTTGGGAAATTTGGAGTGCAAGTTAAGTGCAAGGGTACATCAAATTCCTTTTGGTTTCTACTCAGACTTTTTTTTCCCTCTTTTCCAAAGGAAGGCCACCCTAACCCTGGCTCCCCATTCTCGGGAGGAGCTTTTGATGCTTACCTGCCTTTAAACCCCAAGGGGAAGAAGCTGCTTTCTCTGCTGAAGAAGGCCTTCGAGCAGGGTCTGACCTTCACAATCAGAGCAGGGAAGACAGAGGACAGGGTGATGTGGGGCAGAATTCCTCACAAGACCAAGATGGAAGGAGGAAAGTCAGGGTACGTTTGTGTGGAGGGAGTGGCTACTGCTGCAGGATTATGGGTAGAATAGAACCTACTGGAGCTTTCTTGACCAGCATGCTTTACCCAGAATTCTCCAGCCAGCCCTCTTCCTGAAATGGTGACCTGCGACACGTTAGTGTCCTGTCTGCAGGGTTTCTGTGCTCTCAGTCTGCTTAACACTTAGACTGAGCTTTTACATTGCTTTCATCTCTGTCAGGCCTCAGGCCTGTAAAAGTCTTAAACACAAAACAATCATTTATCGAACATTTACACATGCGAGGAGGCACTTTGGTCCATTTAGCTTATTAGGTTTTTAGTAGCTAATTGATCCAGTGATTTCAAATCCCAAACATATCTATAAATTAGATATCGGTTTCAACACTTAGCTGAGCAGCATGTTCCACACTCTTACAGCCATTTCTGGATAAAAGTGCCTCTGTTCTCCATTTGAAATGCACCCGTGTCCCCTGGTTCGGGGGTCACTGCTTATTCAGCACATCTGAGGATGAAACAGTTACTGAAAAAAGAAGGAATAAGAATGAGATAGGCACAGCAGGCCCCTTACAGCAAGGGATCACCAGGGCTGAGCTGCAAAATTGTAATTAGACAGAAAAATGTAGACAGGCCCTGCCCTTGGCATTGTAAACCTGTCCCCATGCTTGACAAGTTGCAGTCAAACTAGGCTGTGTATATCTGGTATGAAAAGCATGAACATAGATGAAAAAATCAGTCTGATGTTCTCATCTACATTTTGTGTCATAAACTCTGCACTGGATAAGCAGTGGCACGCTGTGTTGTGGAAAAAAAGTGTTCATTTGTCTCCTAGTATATGTACCCACTGTAACTAATCCCACTTAACTCTCCTCCCTAGGAACGGCTACCCAGATGCCACATATCTCAGTAACGTGCTGGACGTGCTGAAGTCCTTCGGAATTGAATCCAGTAAGTAGAGTGAGACTCTTTCTAAAGGAAAATGGACCTTTCTACTGCTGGATCAACAAGCTCGTCCAGAATCATCGTAAAACTCTTCATGCTTACAGGACAGTTTTTGTTTAATTTTATAATAAGGAGGTGTATATTTTTTTATATTTGCTGAAAAATGTTTTCTACCTACCTGCATATTCACAAATGTCCACATGGTGAAGCTACAGCTGTACTGCTGACACTTGTATTCCCTCTCAGTATACTGATAAGAGCTTTCCAGTGTTCAAGGCAGAACAAATTGTGGCCTTTCTTCAAATTAAGATGAGTTTGAGAATGCCGTCATGATTTTAATGGAAAAAAATGTCCCTAGTTGCTACTACTCTACACTGTGGATCTGAATCAACATTTCTTTGTCTTGTATCTGGAGGAAGGAGTTCCCTATCTTTCCTTGTAAAATTAACCACCCTTCTCCCAGTTCACATTCCATGCAGATTTCAATAATGATGCAGCACATCTTCCCTCTTAAAAAAGGACAAATTGTATACAACTGAATACAGTTGATTTCTGTTCCTGTACCATGATGCTGGTAAAGTGGAGTAACCATTTCAGGTAACGTCCTACTTTGACTGTAAAAGTATCATTTAACAGTTTTATATTATTGAATTCTCTCCTTGAGTGATTCCAACACAGAATCATGTAGAGTAATTCACTGGTTTCTTTACTCAGATTCTGAATGTTTTATTGTGAAATGTTTTTCTATAGCTGTTTGTGAATGACATTCCAGGAGTATTAACTGAGATACACAGTCTGAGCGGATCTTAGTGGTCGTCTCCGAAGGCAACTCCTGCGCTCTTACGCAGCACTTTAACTCTGGGACCTGCTTCTCCCAACGTTGGAGCACAGCTTCAATCTGGTTTCCAGTCCTTGCTCAGTGTCTACTGATCAACGCAGTCAGACGACATGAATAAAAACTGCTAAATTTTATGTTACTCCGTGGAGTTCTGTGTGATTATTACTCTTACTCTGGAAAAGACTAAGACTAGAAATTGTCTCACAAAAAAACATTCCAGATAGGAGAGTTTATTAAACAAGATTTTCACTTAGCCTTCAGGCAGAAATAATACAATGGACACTCTGTATGGAAACTTATCTGCAGTTAATCATTGACCTGGTATGTTTATCATAATCACTTGGGCAGACAGGGAACACTTGAGGTGAATTTCAGGTGAAAGTCTGTCTCTGTTGGAAGCCTGTTCTCAGCCCAGCTCACCTGTGTTCGCCTGTACAGGAAATATGGACCAGGGGCTTGGGAGGCCTTGCCAGGGCTGAGCAGGATGCAGCAGCAGCTAGGGGACTGATCTGATGCCCAGTTCAAAGCTGCGATGCTCTATTCTACGTTTTGCCAAGTGCAGTTTACCACAATTATGTGGGTTGAGGCAAATTCTTACCAAGAATAGTTAATCATGAAAAATGTGATGATAGTTATAAGAGTGTATGGGTAAAATTGCTCTTTGGTGTGTGGGTGTGATGACCCCTGTTCTAGAGTTTGTTTTAGATTAAAAGCTTACACCTAGAACTTCATTGCGTTCTAACTTTGTGATACCTGTAATGACATTTTTGGTTTGAGATTATGCACCTTTCCCACAGGGATCAAAATAGGGAGCCGAGGTTTGCAAAAGAAGTACCCTCCATCAGCCAGCTCCGAGGATAGAATCACTGAGCTTCAGGCGTTTTCAAGCTCAAACACTCCCAGCACAGCCACAGGAGCTGGTAACCTCACCCAAGATTTTAAGGCAGAGGAGCCAAATGTTGGTCCTCAAATACCCCTGTCCAGCAGTTTGTAGGACTGGAGCTGGGTCCATCAGCTTTAATGGCATAAATTCATTATTTATGAATTCATTATCTGTGGTGTCCTAATGACTAGTGATGCACATTAGAACTGGAGAAACAAGCTTCTGTTGGAGTGGCTGCCTTGTAGGAGCCATTAGACCAGTGATCCTCGTTCCTGGAGAGTCATTGTGACGTCCACGTCCATTCTACGCTTCTAAGGACTTCTTTGGCCCAGAGGAGACTCAGGCACGATCCTGTTTGCTTGAGATTTATATGGTTAATCGATTGCTTCCAGGTCTGCAGCTCCCCATGATGCTCAGTTACCTAGAAATCCTGCCGCAGCAGGAGTCTGGATCACTGATTTAGACCCCGAGTGCAGCCCTGCTGCACCTCTCTCTGATCTCTTAAAGATCCTCGAGAAGTGTTGAGTCAGTGCAGTCAAGGAGATTTTTAGCTCGATAAAAGCCTGAACATTTTGCAGGCCTCTTGCTCTGTTACCACTTGCTTGAACAGACATATGCAAAACAACCTCATCTTTTGTTATGCTTTTTATTAATTTTGGAAAACACGTAAGGCATGTGGTAACATTAGGCAGAAAAGCAGTACAGGTTCTAGTCCATGTAAACAGCATTGGCACAACATCTTCAATCCAGAGGCAAGCACAGAAGCAGCATTTTTCAAAGGGTTTAAATACAAAGTAGAGAATACTTAAAATCATCACAGTTTGTAAAAAATCCAAAGTAAAAAAAAAACACTTTAAATGTTCACAAGTAACTACATGAGCAGGCAGTGTAAACAGAAGTGTCTCTGAAAAGAAAGAACACAAATGAAGCTCAAAGCTGAAGTAAGAGGAATTACTGAGAACAGGAAACGTCACAAATTAGAAGCAAACAGGGAATAAACCGCTAACAGTGTAGTTCAGTTTGAGCTCCATTCACAAAACAAGCTGCAGGTGAAACAAAAAGACATTTGCAAATGAAGGTCAGTAGATAATTTTTACTGTTATTACTGTAACCAACAGTGATAATCAGAATAGATTTTTAGTTGAAAAGAAAAATCAGAAATTTCAGTTTCTAACCAGCCATCTTCTACACATTATAGAAACTGTCTGGTTCAGCCATCTGTCAGATCTAGTCATCAGAGCGCCACATTCCCGTTACCAGGATGGCGATGGCACACGAGGACTGGCATTGCTGTGCCACACATGGCACGCTGACTCACTCCCTCCCCCGGCCGAACCGCCCGCCACAGCCACCGACAGGAGGGCCGAGCCCCTTGCAGGGCACACACTCCGAAAAGAGGTTTAGAAAACATACAAAGAGGCATCAAACACCAGCAAACGCTCGTGATTCTAATAGCCCTCTACTCATTAAGGACAAAGCCCAGATCTGCCGAATTCCCTTTGTGCTCATATAAACCCCACATGGCCGACTCACAGTTGAAGAAGATGGATGAAACTGACGGTGTATGGCTGGGTATCTGTCACTAAGCATCAAGAGAGACTACAGTCTATTTACCTTCAACTTGCTCTTTTAAGAAAACATAAAAGAGGTAATTGTGAGAGTTATTCTTTGAAAAGCATTTGGAATCTAACTATGATAACTAGTATTGGTCAGGACAGACTTACAGTCCCGCAGTCAATTTTTCATTCTCAGAACACTTTGCAACACACAGATATGGATCGACCTTACACACAGAAAACACCCAGGATTGTACAAAGTGAACAAAGCAACAAGTCTCCTTTTACAGCTTTTTGAACATGTTTAACAAGGATCATTATTAATGCACCAAAGTTGGAATGACCAATTTTCACATTAAAAATATCAGGGTTTAATCATAGAATGTTTTTTTTAAGTTCTTGTTTTGAAATATCCTACAGCTTGTTGCTCTTGTACTTGTAAATCTTCAAAATCAATGATTTCCACATGTATCACAGGTATAGCTAATTTACAGAGCAGAGAGACAAAAATGGGGTTAAAACACTCATTCATAGTACAAATTGCAGGAATGTTTTTGATCCATTCCAGCCATTAGTGGTTCGTTTAAAACAATCGCCAGGCTGTGCAGTCATCCTCACAGAGCTGGGAAAGCCATTATCCCCTCCCAGGGACCTGGACAAATTCCCGTCGTTCCTCCCTCCCACCCTCCTGATCCGTGCTTCAGCTACAGCTTCTCACTGCCAGAACATTTCAACAAACCCCTTTTCTGAACTGAAGAGACAAAAATGGCTTTAAATATCTGGAACTTTCAAAACTATCTTTTATTTCTTTGAAAGTCAGTGCCGTTTTATGTTTGAGCTGACTCAAACCCCTCAGCTATTGGCTCAAAAGCAGAATGTCTCAAAAGGGCCCTTTCAGTGGTTCCTGTTACTTTTACCTTCACAGCACCAATAACATAACACATTGAGCTGAGGACTCCTTTAGCTTCCTACATAACAGCACTTTAAATTACAGGACAGTATTAATGCCGCACTGTCACTGGCTTTAAAAACTACCTCAATAAGGAAAATGTAATTTTGAACTTGAAGCCTTTTTTAGAAAACCTTGATCAGAATAAAAGTTACAGAGGCAAGCTTATATAGTATATACATCGTTCTTGAGTGAAACCATTGCCGCCCATTAGCCCAGTTTAATCTTTTAAGCCCTTGCAAGGCCAAGGATGAATATACCCTTTACCTGAATCGTAACCCCTTTTCTCTCTAACCATGAGCACTTATGACACTAAACAGCAGCTCCCAGAGCTCTGCTGAGCCGCCAGTCGCTCGGAGACTGGGATGGGTCCCTCTCGCTTTAGAACCTGGACTGCATGTTCCAGGAACATCCCATAATGCAATGCAAGTGCTCGAGGTGGGTCAGTTCTGCTTGGTTTCCATGGACAGTTGGCAAAGCAGTATTTCCACTGAAGCTTGAATACAGCCTTATTCCACTGAGAGACTAGGGTGTCTGTATGTGAGCAGCTGTATGGCTAAGGCAGTTGCAGACTGAATAACAAGGCACTAGGATTTAAAGCTGGCAGCAGTTTCTTTAGTCACACTAGACACTGTAGTGTTGCAATCCAGCAGGCATTAAGACTACATGGTATTTTAAAATCAATTATGTGGAATGTGGACAAGTCAGATTTATCTATACTATACAGAAACTGTACTAAGTACCAAGTTATTGGAAAATTACAGCAAAATGCAACATTTCCTTACAAAACTGCAGTCAAGAACAGGCACCTGGTAAAAGCTAAGACAGTAGTTATTGTACCTTAATGGGCAGAAATTCAGACACAGTGCGTTTTAAAAGCCACGGGTTTGAAATTGGGTTATGACTCTTAAATGTATAAAAGAGGAAACATGACAACCGTGCATATAGACATGAAAAGAAAAGTTTTAATGTTGCTCTAAACAGCTGCAGAGGTACTTTTTCTTGAAACAAATCATATTTATCATAACCTTGTGTGCAACATTAAAACTTCTTTTCTGATTAATTTATTGGCAGACTGAACCTCAGCCTACTGTGAAATCCATATATGTAATATACAGAAAAATTACAGAATTAATTAATTGTAGCCATAAATGTATAATAAAACAGAAAACGAGAGTGACTTGAATAACTAAACTTTTGCATTATGTCCTCTGGCTCTGAAAGATAATCATTATAAAACAATTCTGCAGATTTCGCACATGCCTGGAAGATGAGCTCTACAGAGTGGAAAAGCTTTTGGGATAGAAGGTTAAAGGCCAGGCAGATGTTTTTCACAGCTGCAAATTAGGCAGTGATTCTGTTGTACCTCTTCCAAAAACTTTAAAGGCATAGCATTAACAAATTAGCTTAGCCACATTTCTGAGCAATCTTTAAAAAAATGTACTTTAAAGCACTTTGTTAGTTTCTTTAGCTCAGATTTAGACAGGCCCGTACACACAAAGATAGTGTTAATTTCTGTATTAATGGAGAACTATGCTTACCTCTTCCATTTATGAGAAAAGTACAAATCATTTTGTCAGCCCATCACAGTAGAGTCTAACGTTATCCCACTAGGGGACGCCTTCTGCAATCCCAGCTCTTTAACTAGGGTAACACCATCAGCTGACAGAACAGGAAATCTAACTCAAGCCGACCACGGCTGAAACATAACAGATCCACAAATCCATTTGACAAAGAGACTGCCTTTACACTACGCCCATTCTCCCCAGAAACATGAAGCAGCATGTTCTGTTTCATAAATGCCCAGAAAATGAAGACTTGCAAAGTTTAAAATGATATAAAACGTGTCTTGCATGCAAAGTGGCTGTGATCCAAATTATACCACAAGTCTGCCACAGTGCACACCTGGAGCTTGGTTTTCGCTCTGAAAACACTGAGCTGCTCTCACAGGCAGGACATACAGATGCAGGTGGATCAGAACCACCCTGTTTTCTTCTGCACAAAACCTATTTACACTGAAACCAACTTGTGCTTTTAAAAAAAAAAGGGACAGAAGCTGCAGAACATACCGACGCAGCTCTAGCAGACTGGACTGGGCCGGGAGCTGAGGTATCAGAACACTCTTGGTTCTGTACCACGACGACACCCGTTTTCCACAGGCCCTGCAGGTGGAAGAGGGGGTGAGGGGAAGTCTTCCAAACCTCCGCAGACCGAATCCTGCTTTCTGAAACCCATCTTGTCCAAGGCAGCAGAATCGTGCCTATTAGGCCCAGAACACGAGGCTTGTTCCCCGGTTTATTAATTCTTCACCTTCCATAAAATCGGAGAGCCTTTGGGTCTCCTGTCTGTCTGGTCACACCCTCAGAGGGTCCTCCATTCCTCCACCTGATCCTTGAACAGGCTCATCACTGGCAGAATTCAAGCACTAAGCAGCTTATGCTTTTCTACTACTAAAAAGCTCCACTCTAATCAGATTACTAGTTTAAGTTAAAAGGGTTAAATGGGTAAGGAGCTCAGATGGAATACAATCAAGAAGGCAGTGAAATCCTGAGAGGCAGATAGGTTATCAAACTCCAGCCTAGAGATGCCTCTTTGGGGAGAAACTTTATCAGAATGACGTTTGGTTATCGGGGTTCAAATAAAGCGTGACCCCTGCCCCCACACCCATCTGAACGAACAGTTCAAGCTCAGCGGAGGGAATGAGTGAAACCAGGAACGGAGTCTCGAACCCAGGTCTAGTCAGACAGGGAAACGGGGAGATCGGGGCTCGAGGCAAGTGGACCCACACACAGGGGAACTCAGATTTGGCACACGGCAGCGCTGGAATAGTAGCAAAACATCTGTAGACATTTTAAACTGGTGAAATAATTCTATTTGGTTCTTTTTTTAAAAGACAAGACAAAGCCCATGAGTAACAGGTGCTAAAGCTCTGACAATGGATTTTCACAGAATTTGGCACACTTGGTCTTGTGGAAAAAATATTGAAATTATGCAGCAGATCCTTGAAAACGACTTTGAATTTTAAACCCTTAAAAAAAGTAGACCATCCTTCTATTGAGCTTTTGTTACCGACACAAACGTTCTCTACACCATCACAGGTACAAACACAGTAAAACAGGAACCCTTGGAAGTGCAATAAGGTCAGCAAGCGGAGTGCAGAAATATCAATACTGTCCTCACACAGGCACCAGGGCTCGGGCCACCAGCCCCCACCTGCACTGCTGCACTAGACCCAGCAGTGCTGGCCTTCCCCACTCAGCGACTTTCCTAGCAGAATTAGCACAAGCACAAGCAGCAGGCCCTGCATGGCATCAGACCAGGCACTATGGTGTTCATCTATTTTAATGGCCTTGTGTGTTGCAGGTATATTATCTCCAGGTCAAGCTTGGCTTTGCTCTAGTGCAGCAGTAACCGTGTTTGGGAAAGTGTGGAGAAACCAGGGCTAGTTGGGTCTTAGGATCTTACAACAGGCAACTTTCCTTTTCACTAATCAAAACATTGGTTTAAGTTTTATTGTCCAGGTGCATTAATACAAGAGCCGTTTCCTTGTGCAGTGCTCTTGGCTCCCAGCATGCCCTGCTTCAGCCCTGCACCGCCCACAGCAGGGGGACCGGTGCGACCAGGGACAGAGTCACACCAGCCTGTTCACAGCTACAGCGGCTGGATTATCCTGAAGCTCTTGGGAAGCCTCAAATTGCTGTGGCAGATCCTCTGGAAATGCAACTTAAATTAACATTTGAAGGACAGGCTCATATATGGAAAACACTGAAATAAAACCTAGGAAGAGAAGCATTTTAACGTGTGGTTGTAACCATCACTTGCGAAAGACCTGCGTCGCTGCATTGTTAGCAATGACCATTTCCTTAGTCCGCAGGCCGAGGAGCAGTGCCTTTACCTTCACTGCGGACGCAGGGTGCGGCTCAGGTGGGGAGGCTGCTGCCTGAGCCCCTGTGCGGTAAAGCCCACACACACACACACCAACAGAGCGCAAACAGACACGTGTCCCACTCACACGAAGTCTGTCACAACCTCGGCTAGTCCGAACGCTAACCCCAGTGCCAACTCCTCAGGACCCGTAAAGAGACACAGTCAAGCCCAGCATGTGGAACATGGAGATGATATTCCAAAAAGGAAGATGGAAGCAGTTGCTACCAGTCAAAAAGGCTGCATTCTGAAAAAGACACTGAAAGCACCTTCATACCAGAAGTGATTTGCATAACAATTGTTCAGAGATGAAAACAGCAATATTTTACTTAGGAGGCAAGTTCAAAATATGTGGAACTGGTAATTTTCAGTGGGCAATAGGAACAAACATCATTTATCCAAGTACCGAAGGGGGGAACTTCCTAATTCTTCATGCATTTCTGTGCAAGACCACCAGGTGTCATCTGATCACAGCCTTTATAGCTGTAACCTATATACAGGCTGATGCATCATCAAATTGATCAATTTCCCATGCTTGAAATTAGAAGTCGCTAAGAATTGGTGTGATTAGAATAGTAAGAATGTGGGTGTGACTGTCCCTGTACTTGGAAACTTGAAGTGCCTCTGTAGTCCCACCTGGATTTAAACAGAATCAAGTGATCTGGGACAGCAAAAGAAAAGATCTTGCAGGGCTGAGATTTTGTCCCTTTCTTCCAGATTAGCTCACTAGAAAAACATTTGCTGATAAAATGAGTTTATAAACCTCAGATCTTTGCATGAGAAGTTTTAATGCGAGGCAGGAGCGCTGTGCTCCTTCTGGGGCCATGAAGCACAGCGCTCCTGCCTCATGCGTTCGGGGTGAGGGCCGCCAAGAGCTTTCCCGTTTCTGCTGCTGCCTGTTGCCATGCCGACCGCCTCCGCGGCTCCTCCCGCGAGGAGGGAGACGGCGTGGCCGGAATCCGCTTTTTATTTCCGATAGGTCACAGAAGATTGAGATGCCCTGGGTTGTGAGGGAAAAAAAACGCCAGGAACCAAAATCATGAGGAAAAAGGCTCATGTCCCCTGGAAAAACACCTACAGTACACAATGACGAGACCAGCTGTGCTGCTGGGCGACATGTCTTATAGTTGCAGCCATGTGTTCACTGCAGCCAGGTTCTCATTTGCTGGAAGGGTGTAGCACTGACTACGTGCCTAACCATACATCAGTCAGCGGGCATTTTCACATTTGAGCTTCCCTGCTTGTGGAGAGCTCTTAAACCACAGGTATGCTACTTGATGAACTAATTAGGCCACATTCTTGCCATCTGACCTGCACAGCACAAGCAAAAAGTATTTAAGCCTGTTTTGTGCCAGCTTGCATTACCACAGCTGAAAGGAATTAAGTGTTGAGAAGATGTGTGCAAAGGGAAAAGACAGCAGCAGGAAGGTTGAGGCAGGAAGCTCAGAGATGCTCACTTTTTTTTTTTTTACTATGATTCATTTTTATTCTTCGTTCACTTAGGAAACATAGTGCTACTAGATCTTGCAATACCGAGTACAAAAATCTGGAAATAGTCTCTGGCTATAAAGGGTGAGCAACAAACTGATGAGGGGTGACCATCATGCACAGAAATGCCAGTAGCCCTGTTATTCAATAGGTGCGCATGCATTCATGTATTTTTTCAGCAGCCAAACCCAAATGCTTTCAAAGCCTCTGGCTCCTTTGCAACACCAAAAGAGACGGATGTAGACCCAGTCATGTCCAGATTTTAATAACCGACCTGGAACAGCTACCTGAAGCGCTCGTTCCAATCTGCTGAAGGGCCGATTTCCTAATAAAACCAGGCTGGTGTTAGGAAGCCTGTCTGTCTGTTTGCGGGTCCTGAGCAAATAAGCAACTCAAAACTCAAATCACAATCATTTTCAGGGGAGGGCGGAGGAGGGGAGGACTGGGAAATGCCCACTCCTGTTGCAGAGCAGTTCGAGCCAATCCAGGCTGCACTGGGGGCCTGGGCTCAAACTGCTGTGCAATCAGAGTCTGGGATTCCACTCCTGCCTCGGAACATGGCTCCCGAGCGCCTGCCTGACCCGGGTCCTAATTCTCCTCCTTCTTGGCCTCATCTTTCTTGACCTCCTCCTTCTTGGCCTCTTCCGTTTTCGGCTCTTCTTTCTTGGGCTCAGGAAGCAGGATAACTTTGCCGATGTTATTCCTCTCCTGCATCCGTCTCATGGCATCTCCCACCTGATGAGCCAGACCAAGAGAGGGGTTAGGAATAGACTCCTAAGATTCAACTTCCTCCTCCTGCCTTTATGTGCAACATTCACCTCCTTCATTGGTGCGCAGAATCAAGAGTGCCCAGCTTGTTACAAAGACCACTCCAACCAGCTGTTTTCATATCATGCTCATCTGACATTACACAGCGCAGAACCTGGAGACAGCCCATATCTGGGCAAGCCGACTTTGGGCAATGTAATACAAGGTTTCAGAAAGCATTTAGAATAGTTCTAAATCAGAGATTTGAACTGTCAAGGAATTAATTCCATTACAACACATCAAAATTATATTTGCATTTCAAAAAAAGGGCCTCAGCACTTGAGTAATTAGTTTATTACAAATCAGTTGTGTACAATATCCCCAGTGTACAATTCTGGTCAGAATCCCTGGATCAAAATCTGTTGGAATCCCTTCAGTGCAGTGCAATACAGTAGACTGAATACTTAAACTCAGGAATGAACTGACAGTCCATTCAGTTGGCTACTCCAAAAGAGAAATGACCAGGAAAATAAAACCTTTTAGTTCAGGACAAACATGAAAGCACTTTGATGTTGTGAACATCCAGAAAATGCTATTCATTAATGTAGTTAAGTCCTTGGGACCCTTCAACATCTAGTAAAAAAAAAACTTGAGCTGAAAGCATTCTAAATAACCATAATTAAAAAAAAAATTACACCTCAATTCACGACTACAAACCACAGCCACACACAGGAAAATGAATGTCCTTTGCTACACCCACTTAGAGCCACTTGTCTGGTCTTTCAGCACATAAGCAACACTCTGTAGCTGGAGGAGAGGTGTGCACTGCAGACCTCACTGCTCCCATGAGACAAGCAACTCCTGGCCAGCTAATCCAATCCCACCCTCCAATGTCCAGCCAATTGTGCTCTGGTATTTAGGGAAATATTTTTGTATTTGTAGTGATAAAATCCATCTGGGTTTCAGAGGAAAAACCCATCACGTACTCCAAACTGGGACAGGCAAGGGGCAAACTGATGTTCAGGTGGGTAAAACAAGCACTTAGATTAGATTTCATTCTCTTAACCCAAAAATAAGATTCTCAGTTCTGAGCTTATCAAATGTCTGGTAGGACTGATCATTTATCCTCTGAAATCTTCAAGCAACTGTCGCTGTGCCTCCTCCCCCACCCCTAGAAGCTACCTTGACTACCAAGCAGGCATCCTTCCCCAATCCCCAGCAGCCATCGCCACAGAAACATCAGCACGTCTCTTAGCAACACTGAGCAGCTCCGCTCGCCTTGGTCGGCTCTTTGATGTGGCAACAGATTAGAATGGAGGACAATCAAATGCTGATGCAGTTCAGTGGAAGGGGCAACAAGGAAGCTGAAGTACACTCAACTGGTGCAGCTGTAAAAAACACTGGCACTAATCTCTCGCCAAAAATAAAGGGCTTCAATTTGAGATTGAAACTGAAATAATGCTTCATTTGAGAGCAAAAAGGAAACACTTGACTGGAACCTTTAATCCAAAAAGACCAATCACCGCTTAAACTCCAAAGGCAAGTGGTGGACGAACTGGAGTTTCCCCAATTCCAGTCCAAAGCCTGCTGAATTCTGACATTTGGCAAAAGCTCAAGCGCGCCTTGAATCAGCACCCAGAAAGCCTCCTCTTGCATCTTCACTGAGCTCTTTCAGGCTGTGGAGGTCTGTGAAGTTCCCGTCTATCCACCAGGGAGGATGACCTTTGGATACTCCACTCACAGCAGCACTGGAGCTGCCAGTTTGAACAGTCCTGTTTGGCTGAAGACGGGATCAGGCTCTGGCTGAGCAGGGAGGTCAGAGGTCATGCTGCAGGAGTCTAGATTTATGCACAAGCATATGAACAGAAAGGCAGCTTATGAGAGCAGACAAGCAAGCAAGCTCACTTTGAAGATGAATTGGTGAAATTTACTGCACGAGACCTACAGCCCGGAAGTGGAGGGACCGAGTCGGGGTCATGACATGTCCGTGGCACTGCTGGGGGCAGGATGGGCAGTCGTGCTCTCATCTGGCAAAAGGGCAAGTCCTGCGTCAGCAGTGAGCTTGCAGTGCTGAAGGGGAGAGGGCACCGACAGGGGCTGCAGATCTGCAGTCTTCCTTGCACAACAGCTGTCATTCAGTCAATTACAGAGCCAGTATTCTGTGAAGCAGAATCTCAAACTGGTCTTTTCAATTTACGTGACAGAATCAGAGATTTAGGGGAGAACATTTGTTGCATTTGGCCTCCTCTGAGGCCATCAGTTTGGCTATTTTTTGCAGACTAAATAAATCCACCAGGACGTATGCCAAATCTACAAAGGCTTGTGCCAAAAAAGTCGAGCGAAATAAACTGCTCTAGAAGAACTGGTGTGGTAGACCTCCACAGGGTGGAGCTGTACATTAAAGCAACAAACTGATTAAAAAGATTGAACATCCCTTAGAAAATAATGCATTACTGCAGATTAGCTGCTGTGACAGTGATGAATGAAGGACAAATGTTTTTGATGTATCATTACACAGTTTACAAGAATAGTTCCTCAGAAGTTATTGAGGATTATGGTGCTCCAGTTCTGGCTGTCTACTGCATAAAACTCTAAATCCTGTTTTAAAAAGTCTATTAGCCATAATACAAATGACCACAGGCATAATTGTAACCTTATGCTTGTGCAGGAAAACCTGCGACTAGATTTTCCAGAATGAAGTCCAACTCCTTCATGCATTCAATAACCTCTTTCCAGAGCTAAAAAAAATCCCACATTCTTTACACACATACGCACACAAACTATCAAGACAGCAAAAAAATACTAATTCACAAGACGTGAAATACAACTATAGGTTTTGCAAACCCCAACTGCCTGCTTCAGGTACACTTCAATAGGTTCAGCAACAGCAGTGCTCCAGTTGGAAAAGCAGGGAATTGTGTACTGATGAGGAAAGATTGGTACTGGTCTCCGAACGCAAGAGGAAGCCGAGGCAGGATTGTCTATCCTCTCCCCACCCCCCTTCTACCAGGAGGGTTAGGGCTGCAAACACTGCTTGTTCCATTAGCAGAATAAACAAGCCTTCTCTGACTAAGCCAGGCAGGTAGGCTGCGAGGTCTCCATGGCAACAAGAAAAAGGTCATGTGTACCACTGATGCTGGTCAAAGTGGAGAGCTTTGATTCTAATTCTTGTGATCCATCAGAACTGGGCACTTCCCACATCCCCATAATAGTCCTTATAAAATAAACTTTAAAATGTACTTATTTAACATGTGGAATACAGACAGAAGTAGATGAGCTACAGTTAGAACTGGTATAAGAATCACACCAAACCATTGATCCTGCAAACTTAAAAGGAGCAGATTCATTTTTTAGTGGAATTGTTCATTTATTCCCTAATACATCTGCACCCCATTCACACTAGGTGCTGGATTAGATTAGCCATCAGGTACCACTGTTTGTGCTCAAAGCAAACAAACTCATTTTACCCACACTAGCCTGTTTGGTTGCTAGTAGCTAAATGATCTGAAGATGAGCCAGCTGTTGGTTATAAGGACCCAGAGAATCTGAACATTTCCATTGAACATTTCAAATCTGACAAAACGTACCAGAGTCTCTTTGGACTGATTTCAGAGCAGAAACATCTGCGCGCACATGGAGATGCAATAGTGCTTGATATGCTAAATTGTATAACAGTTGAGGCCTGATTTTAGAATAAGATCAGTTGGACACCATAACTAGCTGGATACCTGATATTTTTCCCAAGTTTTTCCATAGGTCACCTCTGCAAGATTACTCACTTGATATTTTTCAGTACCTGCAATGCTGAAGTTACTTTATGTAGATCTGCCAGCTATCTTAAATTTTGCTTAAACCTTTGCTACTTCTACAGCATTTTCCAATCTTATTTTAAGATCATGGATAGTCTAGTTTAACTATAGTATGATTTCTAGATCACAGATATTAGGAAAAGCACTGGTTAATCCAAATATCAAACATCTTCAGATATTCTAAATATATCATACCCTGTGACATGTATTCATTACTGTTTGTTCAAAGACCTTGCAACAGTTGAGCAAGACCTACATTTTCCAATTCCATTCTATACAGTTGCCTAGAAATACTAGGTGACCTTATTACAGGTAAGAAGTCATGCATCTGCCGATATTGAACACTGCAGCTTAAATAAAATGCAGTTCTAAAAATTAAACATGCTCTGTGAACCAAAAAATATACTGTTTAAATACCTCCGACTGCTCTCTTAAGTAAAAATCCTGATTAGGTAAAGCTGGAACAAGTCAGTTTATAAATATCAAGGCATCTGGCTGGATAGTACTTTGACTTTCAAAAGGTAAACCTCAAGCTCAAGTTTACATTGGTTTGTGCTGGTACTCCCCATCCTGGGCTATGCTGAGGTTTACCTTATGGCTATTAAAATTACTCTTGGGAACATCGACATCTTATAACAGTGTTCCGTTTTTTTAGTTTCGTTTTTACAGTGATTGGTTGCAACTGTACATCCACTATGCTGTAGAGAATATTAAACGTTACTAACCATTCGGTTAATAAATTGACTGAAACGCAAGGTCAATTGGTTCTGGGTTTAGACCAGTTACTTGCTTGACTGGAATCAATGAGAGCACTCAGCAATGTGATTCACGGGTATTAGACCATTACAAAGCCTGAACTAATTAATTTATAAACTTCTTTGAGAAAAGGTAGTGCAGTTTCCTGAGCCATCCTACAATTTAGCATTTAGTGTTTTTATCAGTGAAGACTTGCACCCAGGGTCTAGAGTTTCTGGGAGGTTCGAATGGTTAGAACTTTTCCAACAGTTTATACTGCCATGTTTCATTAATGTTTTACTCCGCTTTTCTTCCCTGCTGTCATCTGAGAAAGCCTCTTGTTTAGGTTATTAATATCAATGAGAATCCGTCATCAATTATGTTGAATTATGAACCAGTCTGGAATCCCAATCGCTAGAAACAAAAGGCAGGCAGAGAAGGTGGTGACCTCCATCCTCCCACATCTCTGCAGTATCAATTTCTGTGCAATGGTAAATATTCTTCCTGATATTGATAATTTAATTTCACCTTTCAGTAAGATTATGCATATTAAGATCTTTGTTTTTAGAGTGTGCTAGTTAATAGAAGTTGCAAAGCCCTGAAAAACTGCTACAGGCTTCAGTAACCCTGGATCTGAGCTGTGTGGCTATCTTTCCAGCAAGAGCCCTGCCAACCCCTCACCTGCTCGAAGTGCCAGGTGCTGTCCACCTTGGGCTTGATCTTGCCCTGCTTGAACAGGTCCAGCAGCTTGGCCACCACGTCTGTGATCATCTCAAACTCGCTGTCCAGGTAGCCCAGGTTGTAGCCGCACACGGCCTTGTTGGCATGCATCAGGCTCATGGCGTTGATGCTGAATTGGTTGTACCAGGTCTTAGCCAAGGCGATCAGGTTCTTTCTCTGGCCAGTCAACACATTGGCAGCCCCTAGCATTGGAGAGGAAAAACAGTTCATATCTCCAGAAAATCGTCTGCATCGACAAAACACACTGTGGCTCCAAAACCGCACTCATAGTAACTTTTTTAGAACAACCTAAACGGAGGAGAATGGTTCCCTTTTCCCACCACTTCTGAATGTCAAAAAGAATCCCCATGAATCTCCAAGGTCAAGCTGCTGTGCAGATGTCAGCACTCTGATATTTAGCCTCCAGTGTAGCGGTCAAGGCTACATGTTTTAATGTAGCAAGTCCTTGGAGAATCCAGGACAGCTTCCATCCTAGTGCTTCAATATGGCTCCTTTAAGAACATGGAACTAGGAGACAGACTGAAGAAAGCAGATTCTCCGCCCTCCAACACAAAGCAGCAGAGATGTAGAAGACTGGAATAGCCTGTCAAAAAGCTCAAGATCTAGATACAAGTGAACCAGGTCTGCTGAGCCTTATTTGGACTTGTGAACATGAGAATTACAAGTCCTTTATTTGGTGGAAGAAATGGGGGGTGACTGGAATTAAGGGCATAATCAAATCAGCTTTGGAAAAACTTGTGCTGCAGGAAGGATTAGGAGAGGTTAATTAATACGACCATCATGGATTAATTTCATAGCTATCTGCTTTAGCCGAAGAAAAAGCTGTCAGCTGTGAAAAATTGAGCACTGTAACCTCAGAAGAGACATCATTGTCTCTGCCCCCCTCTGAGGACTCTTTAAGAGCTGCACTCATCTCAATCCCCTCTTTATGCGAAGTGTGGGAGACGAGGTCTTGAGTCACAGTTGAGCTCCTTTTCTTTCTCCTCCGCAGATGAACACTGCTGCCCCTGTGGCCTTTAGACAAAGGGATCTTACACTGTTGGAAGCCCCAGAGAGGGGCAAGTATGTTACGCTGAGATGCATTCCATTCACGGGTATAAAACACCAATTGTTAGTGCATGCATATTTCTGATAGGAGTCTGACAAGCACGTAGAGTCATTTGCTGGGGTGGGGGGGGTCAATATTTTCAACCTTGGACAGCAAGCATTTGTCATGCATGCCTCTGCTACCCACTTTTCTGCCTCAGACTGTCACAGCGATGAGACCTGCTGTGGTTTCTGGTGCTCCTCACCGCCACAGACATCTTCCCGATCAAAACTCTATAATGGTACAGAGGTCTGGTCTCCAGAACTGCTCTGGAATACGCCTCTTTTCTGCATCCATACTCACACCAGAAAAACAGAGACCAGTTTGAGATCCACAAATGCTATAACATTCAACAGGAGAGTCAAACGCGCATACATCTGCACAGTCTGTTTCATTCACTTGCTACAAAGAATGAGTTGAACTGTGTCAATCTTGTTACAGATGATTCAGTGCCAAGAGTATTTAAAAGGTCAATGAACTCCAGCATGAGAAATCCCTTCTAGAATCAGCCCTCACAATATAATAGTGAGCAGAGGAGTTGGTAGAAAGTCCCCTCAAAAACAAAACTGCATCATTGCTTTTAAAATAAAACAATTAGAATTCACCAGATATTCATCACAAATGACTCATTCCAAAGATCCTCCGTAGTCCATCTGCATCAGTTTCCCCATGGCACTGGCTAGTCACAGTTCCTGTACCGGTATCGATCAGCATTGCCCCAGCGCCTCTTACCATAGGTGATGAGCTTGCCCATCGGTCGTAGGAGGTTGAAGGCTTTGTGGGTGTCCGAGCCTCCCAAGGGGTCGAGGACAATGTCCAGTCCTGCAGAGCCAGAGAGGACACAAGCTCTTGACAGGGCACCAGAGCAGCCAGATTACCCCACTGCCTGAGCCAGGAGGACTACAGCACGCTCTTTCACACCTTAAATATTTAACGGAACAGCTAGATGGACAGTGGTAATCTCAAAGACTGACACTAAACCAAAGCTTATTCAATTGCAGTTTCATTCCCCCCCTCCTTGGCAAGGCATTCAGAATATATGTCCATTAGAATGAGTTTACAACTAGAAAATTGTAAACAAAGTTCAACCTGGGAAAAATTATTTAAACAGCATTAATACACATCTCCAGATAAACCATTTTCATGCATTTCTGACATTCACAAAGACTTGCAATTTCTGATCTCCAACATACAAATGGGTTGCTCTTTGGCTTTTTTAGGTGAACTAGAGATAATTTGAATGGCTCAAAATTTAGAATGTTTTTGATTTAATGCTTTTATCGTTGAGTCTTTGGGCAATCTTGAATGAAGCAAAAGATATTATAACAATTAGCTTGATCATGTCAGACAGTCAGAGTGGGACAAGTTGGGTGGGAGGTGGATGAATCATTCAAGGGGGCACAAGGCATTTTTGTGGGAACATTAATAAAAGCCAATAGAATTCAGCTCATCTTACTTGCACAGGTTGGCTATTTCTTTTAAAAGATGTATAACTTTTCTCCATTAAGAGGGGAATCATATTTCAATACTAGTTTAATGTTTCCCCAAAGAGATTACAGCATGTTGGGATAGAGAGATTGTCTATAACCCATAGCCCGGAGGAATTAAAATGGAAAGATGATCCAACTCAACTCTTGACTGCTGAACAGAACCAAAATTACCAGAAGTCAGAATTAGTAAAGGAGACCAACACTTGAAGCGCTAGGACCAAGTTAGAGACCACTGCCTCAAGTGTCTCTTCTGTACCACCCAACCTTACTTGTCAAAGCTAGATTGGAGTGGCCAACCTACATTAAACTCAAGAGGCATGGCTCACAATGCTATTATAAGATAAGCAGCCAATGCCAAACTTCCACAGCTTCCATCATCCCACTGTGGAATGTAGTAACCAGACTCCTGTGCTGCTCCTCATGCCTCTGCATGTCTGAGAAGAGCTGGAAACCGAACTGTCAAAAACCAGGCTGGTATGAAACAGGAAGAGACCAGGTATCCTGGAGGTTGGCATCACGCCAGCATCGGAATGAAACAGTCAGAACCTGAACCTTTGGGGCTGATTTTGCGGATCTCGTCCACGTAGTCACGGGTGCGGTAGTCGATGGGATGGGTGACGCCCATGGCGCTGATGGCCTCGTGCTTGCTGGCTGAGGAGGTCCCGAAGATGGTCACATCCTTCACCGTTTTGCACAGCTGGGTAGCAGCAACACCCACTCCACCTAAGGGGAGGGAAAATAAAACTGTCCTGAAAGTCTGACAGGCAGGCTTGAGGGAAAAAAAGAAAACACCACCTTGGTCAAAACAGGAAGGGAAATGAGTCAAACTAAAGTACCTCCTCTCTAAGAACCTTTTCAGTCGTTTCCTGTTGACCTGTGAAGTAAGCTGGCAATTTCCCCTTCACAGGTCTCACCACAACACAGCTAAGAGTTGGGCGACTTATATAAAACACTTCTTGTTCAGGCACAAGTTACTTTAGACAACTCCACTGCCCAAGAACTTCAAAATGATTCATTTAAGTGAATGACAATTCAGCCCAAACCAAGATAACATTTCAAAGGGCTCAACAGTGCTTTGATGGTCTGTGATCACTGTACTACAAGACTTGACCTATGAGAAGGAAAGTTGAAAGATTAGCCTGTCAGCTCTCACTGCCAAGAAGCAATATTAGTATCCGCAGGCCACTGGAGACTTTCCTATAAACCTTCAACTTCTTGCTCATCATGTGTCCTCATTTAGATCATGTGCAACAAGAAGTTACCAGCAGAGTGACTAATTGATCCTGCTGGATCAAAAGTCTACGACCTATGCACTCCTTCACGCTTGCTGAAAATCTACAGTAGTAATGAGGTGCAAAACACTGATGACAGACTAGGCACCAGATGCACATCAATGCAGCAGGAGTGAGCTTCTGGGTGAGCTTAACAGTCTAGTCCCCAACTTAAGTCGGGAAGATGCCAAGCTAAAAATGGACTGAAAAAAGCTTACTGGCTAGCAGTCCATCCCAACAACAAACACTCGGAAAGTCGCAGAGCTACAAAAGAATGAAGTTTGGCCACAAACATCCCATACTAAAAGGCTTCTGGTCGGGGGGAAAAAAAAAATCCTTTAGCCAAAATCCTACAAGTTGACCAGAAAGCTATCGAACAGCAAGACGGTTAAACATTAAGACTGGAAGAAAGGTGTTTTGACTTGGTTAATCATAATTACACCTTTTAGCCTAAAGAACACCACTATGCTTTACAAAATGGACCCACTTCCTCCATGAAGGAAGTGCAGCCATTCTGCACCCGCTGCTCCGCTACACAACGGATTAGGGAAGAAGAGTTCAGATGCTTCAACCGAATAAAGGCAAACTCTGGCCAGACCAGATTTACTCCACCCTGGGTTTACTCAGCCAGGACACTGGGGTACCCAGCTATTTACAGGATCTGAAGAGTAAATAGTCCAGAACTCAGAACTCAGGTTAACATTTGCAGGACAGGGGCAGTCACCACACCAGAACTCCATGGTGATGAGACTCAAAGGGGACAATGCCCCTGATTACTCATGTACAAGAGCGCTCATGGATCCTGTATCTGATGGGGGGGGAACTAAGTGGAGTTTTGTAATAAAGGAAAATGAATACAATAGTTTATACACCTATGGCAACAAAGGAATTCCAACTACCAGGAGATGTGGAAAGAAAATCCCACATACTGTTTCAAACCTGACTGTGGTCCTCCAGTGGACCATTCTAGATGCTACACTGACAGCAGCCCCTGGGCACAAGGCAGAGCACTGGTTGGGGCAGACTGATGGAGACGAATGGCAGCAAGGCCTCGTTAACCAGGCTGCCTGGCCTCCAACAGAAGTGAGCACAGTCATAACTGCAGTCTGGAACAGGCTACCCAGCATCCTGACTTTTCTTAAAGTGCTAGAAACTCAATTTGTCTGACCGTCTCCTCCAGCCACCCAATGAGGCAGAGGATCCAAACGGCCTCCACTCCTGCTGTTGTGCAACTACGATACTGAGCACGAGGCGGTCAGAGGCAGTGTCCTCAGCATGGAGCAGAGCTGGAAAAAACACTGTAAAAAAAAAAGTGGAAAACCTCAAATGAAAAAAATTAAATATGCAAAAAAGCAGTCTGTGAAGGTGCAGTTCCCCTTGCTGGGGCTGACCTGTCTGCGCTTCAGAAGGAGCAGGGAGGTTTCCATGGAAACCAAGGCCAAAGAAAACTGCTGATTTGATACATTTCAATTTTCTCTCTCCCCCCGAACAACGCACACGGTCAGGATGGGTCCCAGGGAGCAGTTCAGCTGCTTAAAAATCAAAACATCGTTCCTTTAATTTTCATCAATTTGGTAAAATGTCACTTTGATCAAATACAAATATTGGAGTCTGGGGGTGGGGAGCTAAATCAAGGGATTGCTATAGCGAGGCCATGGACATCATGAGAAGCGTTGATGCGTACTGAAATGGAGAAAGGCCATGTGGGGAGCCGACCCGAGCCTGACTGCATATCACAGGGGAAAAGGTTGGTTATTTAAGTTCCGAAATGTCTTTTCCACTTTATAGACATTCAAGTGCAGAAACACCACTGGGAAAGTGAAGTTTTTAAAAGGGAGTACAGTCATATAATCCCAGAACACAGGTGGACATCTTCTAAAAATGGAATTAAAACAGTTTTAAAACTCGGAACCAGTACATGGTGAATGTAAAAGACAAGGTGCAAATGTTACAGGGGTCTACGTTCTAATTGTCTTATAGTGGCTGCCATGAAAGGAAGTATAATTTCTCCACTTTAATTTGCCTAATTTGGAGAGTACTCACTTTCTCTGTTTTTTCCAACACAGAAAAAACAGTTTCGCAGACAAATACCAGGACACGAGCAACTCTGGCCATGAGCCCTGTTCTACATGACTGTCGCACAGTAATCCTTGACCAATACCAAAGGGCTAGAATACAGCCCTGCATACCCAGCCTGTTATAGCAACGGAGCTGGAGCTCACTCTTGGCTGCCAGTCAGAATCCATCTCTAAGTGCTAGCAATAAATATCAAACTGCTAGTTTGACAGTTGAAGCAGCCTACAGCTTACGATAAGCTTTTTTCTTTCAACAAAAGTGTTACACTAATCCAAACTTAACAGGATAAAAGTTTTCAATGTAAAACTTGAGTTTGCTTGGGCAACATCACCTGCCCCCTCCCGCCCAGTCTCCCAAGTGTTTATATCTCCCCTGCACACCAAAATAGGCAGCAAGTCGAGACCAAACATCTTCACCCCCTTCCCTTGGCCCCTGCCGACATCCTCCATAACCTCCGAAAAAGATCAAACAAGAACCATTCCTCTAGTTTCAGGTCAGGTGCTTCAAACGGTTTGCCAGAGTCCAGGTTGAGTCATTCTGCCCTTCTGTTAGCAATAATCGCTCTGTCCTTCAACAGTCTTTAAATTAAAAGAGGGCCAAAAATGGAAGAGAGCTGTGTACATACCGTTGCCATGGTAACACTCCATTCAGCTCTTCCACACGTCAGCAGGTTATGAGGAGGCAGCAACACGCTCAATTCAAGTATCAAATCAGTCAGAAACACTAAATGTCATCTGCCATGTTCTCGCAGACTTAAAATAAGAGTCTTGATTTCTTTTCCAGCACCAACAGCACTGCAAGAAAGGCCACAGGCAAGGGGAGGCCATTCCCCATGTAGCTCATTTGTTGCGCTTAGCTAGTTCATCCAAGGATCTCGTCCAGCGGTCTACTGCAGGCTCTAGCACAGCTGGGCAGCTGGTCCCCAGCTCCCAGACGCCCCCTATTGTTAACACTTACCCCAAGCTTACTTCCCCACATTGTGTAGAGGAAGAAAAGGTCTTTTGCTAATCCTCCTATTTTGTATCATGTTTCAACTGCACTTACCAATGATACCATGAGGCAGATCGATATGATCTTGGAAAAGCAGTGGTCTTGTTACAGCCCACTAACTGCAACACCCCAGTCTGAGGACTCACACCGAGCATCTTTTCCACATGCTTTTCCTGGAGTACCTACAATTTGAAAATTGGTCTAAAGATTGAAGACCATCTGAGTGCCTATTTCTTTAACTGAGGCAAGGAACTGTCACAATAGATCGTGAGATCGAGGTTATTCGCTAGAATCCCAATACCATACAGGAGACCCAGCAGGTGTGGGTCCATGGTCCTCATTTCCATAAACTCACATGAAGGTCACAGACAATGGCCGATAGCTGTTTGGTTTGCTCCCTGCGTTACGTTGCTAGAACTGGGGAAGTGCAGATGAATTAAGGAGGCTGACCACAATGAAGGCACTTGAACGGTCTGGGAACACGCAGTCTGGAAGTAACAGTTACCTGCTCGCTCTGCTGTATGGAATCGCGTCAGGTAAGTCTGCGAGAGCTGGTGGTTGAGTCACAGTGAGCGCACAGATTCATGAGCTCCAAGCACCAGGCCAGAGGACAGCAGGGCGCTTGCCGACTGGCATCGGTTAGCAACACCGCTCATGCACGCCTGCCAAGCGCCAGGAGCTGCTGCTTGGCTGGTCAAGGAAGACCTGGCTGGACCTCAAGCCCAGCCAACCCCAGCAGCACCTGTCCACATAATTGCTACCATCTTGACTCAGCAAGAGCTGTGGAGCTAAGCCTGTGCTCTGAGCAACAGGCTTTGTGCAAGATCACTCAATTTGTGTTAGGGCTACAGACAAACATGTCCTGCATTGGTCATCAGTTTAGATTTGGAACACAAAAAGGAAATTCAATAAGCTGGCTTCTCATTTCAAGCCCTGAACAAAAAACCCTGCCTTCATCACACACCCAACACTGCACATCGCTGCTGCCCCCGAGCAAATCAAGATCACATTCACAATCGCATAATTCACAGGAGACACTTTTATTTCCGTTTTACTACCTTCTTAAACACTGACAATTTACAGGACCACAAAACCTCTCAGAACTCCAACTATTGCTTTCCCTCTTACATTCTCAATTAATTCAGGCACCACATCACTCATAAAACCCTTAACGTGACCTGCTCCTTCAATATCCACTGTTGGAAAGTGGGCCACAGAAGTGGAGAGCACAAGGTCTCCATGTTGAACCACAGGCTTAGAGCATTTCTAGAGAACCATCCAGAGGTCAAGAGGCAGTGGAGAAAGTTTGGGCCAACGATGCACACATTTAAAACCAGGACAAACAAGGACAATGCTGGCATCCTGAAAGACCCGCAGAGGGACCTC